CCTCGTTGTGTATGTTATATTTTGAGACTGATCATAAAAACAAAATGGATTAAAAGAAGAACTAAACAGATCTTTCTCATATTGCAATGATCGATTCTATTTCTTTCACATTAAGTACTGTACTAGTAAATATGTGAAATGACAAACTCACTTTGAAGGTTGGCTTTCATACACATCAGTATTAAGTTTAGATCAAAAGTTACCTCAAGGTGCATTTACTGTTAACATGACTCGATCAAACAGATTAGAGGAAAGAAGAGAAAAGATCGAACTGACAAAGAACTAATGAAGATGGTACAAAGGTGGGCGCCAAGATCCCTCTGGGATCACTTGTTTTCAAATGTACCTGGTACATATTTACTGAAAAAGAAGTAGTCAGGATATATAGACTTTTAATGATATAAGAATAACAAATAAGGAAGTTCAGACAAACAAAAGGAAATACAACAGTAGTGTGCTAATCTTTCAATGATAAAACACTTAATAAGGAGGATCCACTACAATATTTAATGTCCTGATTAGTATTGTTAAGTAGTGTATCCTTCTTAAAAAGTAGCATCTAGGCACTGTGCAGAAAGATTTATAATACTCTTTATAAAGTGATGTCCTGGTATGTCACAGCTAGACTTTAATTATTGTCATATATTAAACTTAACAGACAGTCACCAGACAGGGACAATACAAGGAACATACACATATCAGATAACACATGATGTATTTATGACATTATGGATTATATACGCGGAAGATTATCACCTACCAACCAGCCTTTATCTGTAGTTTATTTAACGAAGGCTTCAGGTTCTCTGTCATGGCCATTTATACATCATCTCTTATATTTTATTGTTAATTTTGGGAATCTATAAACACTAAATTAAACCTCTTTAAAATTGTTAAAAAAAAAAAGGAGAAAAAATACTATAAATCAAAGTGTTGATACTCACACATAAATTACAGAACAACTTCAGTAACTACAGGCGGTCAAATTCTGTCGTTAGGGTTTGTGATTTAGACATTTAAATACAATGAAATGGAAAAGACATTGAGGCTAATTGAAAATGATAACATTTGCTGTGTTTGTATTATTGCTATTTCTAATCCTGTCTCTCATGTCTTTATCAGTTTTATTAACCTTTAACACAATTACCATATTTCACCTAAAAAACACCCAACCCCCTGTACATGCTTCATCCTTTTTCTGACCAGTATCATCAAGCCCCTCTGAAATTATTAGCACCTCAATTATTAAAATTGTGGCTAAACATTTTTTGAGAATTTTGAAATGTTTTGCAATCATTTTAATTTCCCTAATTTCTAATTGCCCACGACGGTTAAAATTAATTTATATCAGTAATGATGATACTCATTGTATGTAAACAGGACATGTGTGCTGCATACGAAACCCAGAACAAGTTCCTTACCAACGAGATACTGGAGCTGAATGATCTACGACAGCACGATGAAGACAACGGCAAGACTCTGATGATGTACGTGTCATATAATCCATTAGTTTCTGTAAAGTCTGAGTTTGGACATTTCTGTTCTTTTATTCATGTTGATTTTAATAATTTCAAAGCATATTGAAGCATGTTAACATTTCTACTGTTTTGCTGCTAAACAAGTCTACCATTACTCCAAATATTGCCATGAAAACATAACACATCAAGAATCATTACACATGAATGTTTAATAAACAGTTTTCCAATCAGGAACTCTTTGGGTCTTTCCATTAAACTATTGGAGTAATAAGGTAACAGTCATGTTCAGATATCAAATCCTAACTTTGAAAGAAATTCTTTTACTGTTCTGATAAGCATTTGTTGTCTGATGGAAATATCAACTATAGGAAATATTATCTTGTTCCAAAAAAATTGCTGTTCCACAATTTGGGAAAGAAGTTTGTTTAAAATCTATCATTGACTGATAAAAACCACATTGAAAGATAAAATAGAATTTTTCTTGTTGTTTTGAATATAGATAAAAGGATTAAAATGCATATTCTTAAAATTTGTGAATTAATATTGCTGTAATATACATTATACCAAATATTTTTCGCCTTTTTTGCCCCATGTAATGAATTTATAGTCATTATGAACAGTTGTTAATAACTTAATGTACATAGTAATTGCATAATGTACATTGTAATGAAATGTCAAAGGAACATAATATACATAGTAATTGAATGTCAAAGGAACATAATATACATAGTTATTGAATGTCAAAGGAACATAACATACATAGTAATTGAATGTCAAAGGAACATAACGTACATAGTAATTAAATGTCAAAGGAACATAATATACATAGTAAATGAATGTCAAAGGAACATAATGTACATAGTAATTGAATGTCAAAGGAAAATAATGTACATAGTAATTGAATGTCAAAGGAACATAACGTACATAGTAATTAAATGTCAAAGGAACATAATATACATGGTAATTAAATGTCAAAGGAACATAATGTACGTAGTAATTAAATGTCAAAGGAACATAATGTACATAGTAATTGAATGTCAAAGAAACCTAATGTACACAGTAATTAAATGTCAAAGGAACATAATATACATCGTAATTAAATGTCAAAGGAACATAATATACATAGTAATTAAATGTCAAACGAACATAGTATACATGGTAATTAAATGTCAAAGGAACATAATGTACATAGTAATTAAATGTCAAACGAACATAATGTTCATAGTAATTGAATGTCAAAGGAACACAATGTACATAGTAATTAAATGTCAAAGGAACATAATGAACATAGTAATTAAATGTCAAAGGAACATAATGTACATAGTTATTAAATGTCAAAGGAACATAACATACATAGTAATTGAATGTCAAAGGAACATAATGTACATAGTAATTGAAAGTCAAAGGAACACAATGTACATAGTAATTGAATGTCAAAGGAACATAATATACATAGTAATTAAATGTCAAAGGAACATAATGTACATAGTAATTAAATGTCAAAGGAACATAATGTACATAGTAATTAAATGTCAAAGGAACATAATATACATAGTAATTGAATGTCAAAGGAACATAATGTACATAGTAATTGAATGTCAAAGGAACATAATGTACATAGTAATTAAATGTCAAAGGAACATAATATAAATAGTAATTAAATGTCAAAGAAACATAATGTACATAGTAATTGAATGTCAATGGAACATAATGTACATAGTAATTAAATGTCAAAGGAACATAATATAAATAGTAATTAAATGTCAAAGGACCATAATGTACATAGTAATTAGATGTCAAAGGAACATAACATACATAGTAATTGAATGTCAAAGGAACATAATGTACATAGTAATTAGATGTCAAAGGAACATAATGTACATTGTAAATGAATGTCAAAGGAACATAATATACATAGTAAATGAATGTCAAAGGAACATAATGTTCATAGTAATTGAATGTCAAAGGAACATAATATACATAGTAAATGAATTTCAAAGGAACATAATGTACATAGTAATTGAATGTCAAACGAACATAATGTACATAGTAATTGAATGTCAAAGGAACACAATGTACATAGTAATTAAATGTCAAAGGAACATAATATACATAGTAAATGAATTTCAAAGTAACATAATGTACATAGTAATTGAATGTCAAACGAACATAATGTACATAGTAATTAGATGTCAAAGGAACATAATGTACATAGAAATTGAATGTCAAAGGAACACAATGTGCATAGTAATTAAATGTCAAAGGAACATAATGTACGTAGTAATTGAATGTCAAAGGAACATGATATACATAGTAAATGAATTTCAAAGTAACATAATGTACATAGTAATTGAATGTCAAAGGAACATAATATACATAGTGATTAAATGTCAAAGGAACATAATGTACGTAGTAATTGAATGTCAAAGGAACATAATGTACATAGTAATTAAATGTCAAAGGAACATAATATACATAGTAATTAAATGTCAAAGGAACATAATGTACATAGTAATTGAATGTCAAAGGAACATAATATACATAGTAAATGAATGTCAAAGGAACATAATGTTCATAGTAATTGAATGTCAAAGGAACATAATATACATAGTAAATGAATGTCAAAGGAACATAATGTACATAGATATTGAATGTCAAACGAACATAATATACATAGTAATTAAATGTCAAAGGCGAATTTGGGCCGATAATGGATTTTACTGTCGAAGGGCAAGAATTTACGGTAAATATATTCTCCTAATTGCCATACAACGGGATGAGTATTTTAGATTGTAGTTTTACATGTGATATTTCAGGAGCTATGCACAGCTGGAGGCAAAGTTTTATCAAACCCACAGCAAATATCTTATTCTTCTGAAGGAGTTCAAACAGCCTGTCAGAGGTAGGTCACAAACATCTATTTATTCCCAGTGATATAACTGTAGGGCCTACAGGTTTACACTCTGTCTGCATGTCCATCTGTATTTCACTTTGTCTAGGGCATATCTCATACACTGTGTCACCTACAACTAACTTACTTTGCATTTAAGAACCTCTTGGGCAGAGTGTTGCATACTGAAATTAGATCTCACAGCTTCACTGTATACAGAGTTATGACCCTTTTTCACCTTGCCACTTTTTCCCAGGGCATATCACTTATAAATGAAATGCCGCATTTTGTATGTGAACACCTCTTAAGATGGTGGCGAGTCACATGCTGAAATCTGGTCTTGTGCCTTACAGAGTTTAATTGAGGAAACTAAAGATTGCTTGAAATACTAGCCTTGCTCTATCAAAATCTGAAGTAGGTCACAAATACCTAGTTCTACCATAATGTCTTACAATGACTTGCCAATATACATACTATACTTCCACAAAGGATATTGGTCATTACTTACAGAGCTGCTACAGCATGTATGACTTGTCTTTCTGTGTGGTCACTAGGTGGACAGGATGAGGTCCAGTCCCAGGAGATGGTCACTCAACTCCTCTCAGACGCACTGGACCTGGACGAAAATGAAGACATGGAATATAATCTGTTCACCTCCAGGTTTGTGCTGTTCTGTCACTAAACTTTATTTTCAGTAAACAATAAATATGTTTTAAATAAACAATGTCTAAGTAAAAAAATTTAAATGAAAGTCTCATTGGTGGTCAATAATTTAGTTAGAGTGAAATTAATTCGTTTAAAAGTGTTTAGATCACTTTTTGACTTCTCAGAAACAGCCTATCAGATTTTCATGAAAGTTGGTGATAATCATCAGCCTGTGGTGGAAATCTCTACTAGATCAGGAGCTGACCTGAGGGAGCTTAGGGGCGGAGCCGTTAGAGGTCACAGAGTGCACAATTTTCAAAAGCAATTGTCTTTTAAACTTACAGCTCGTAGATTGATAAATGATCATTTGATGATGGGATTGGAGTCTATACTCAACAACAGGCTGACCCAAAGGGGCAGAGGGGATGTAATAAGGGGTCACAATGTACAAAATCCTCAAATCCCATCTCTGAAATTACCATTAGATTTTCGCCAGCATTCCATGAAATGATCCTTACATGATGAGGATTAGAATTTGAACTCAAGAAGAAGCTGACTTCCCAAGCGATCTCCTAGGAGTTCACTTAGTGCAAAGTCTTCAAAAGAGCTTTCTCAAACTTTTTTGAACTTTTTGAAAACTTCCTGAGGTCATCTGCTCAACACTATGTGTACCATTCCTATTTCACTCAGGTGACTGTTAAGGCTTTTGGGCCCCTTGTTTTATACAGTGGACAGGAGCATGACCGGTATGGCTTCCTGAAGAAGTATGGTGGGGATGAAGATGATGATCCCCTTATCGCCAAGGCTACAAAACTAGAGAGGAAGTCTGAGGAGCTGTCCACCAAGATCAAGGTCAGTCAATAAACGGTCAGGATTATTTGACTTAGTGTTATGGGTAAAAAGTTCTAAATCTGGTGCCATGTTTAATTTTATTTTCTTGTTGAAGATAAATCGATATGTGTTGATAATAATTATACTCCCAGCTACCGTTGATCCATAGTAATAAGATAGCATACAAGAAATATCATGAACCCCTGAACCCATTTGGTTCATATTTACACCATAGCATGCAGATTTCAATTTCTACACAATTATATTTTGATGGTCATTTCCACACAATTAGATTTGATGGTCATTGGTCAATTTGAAAGGGTTAAAGGTCACAGATAAAACGTGGTTGGGGAAAGGGGGAGTGGGGTTTTTGTTCTGCTAATTACTTTGACACTAATATATGACACTGATGCAACACTGTGATATTTGATTCGCTGATGTTTAACTATGATATTTGATTCGCTTATGTTTAACTATGATATTTGAAACAGTAATATTTTATGCTGCAATATATACAGATATTTAACACATTGAGATATGGCTAGGATATTTGACACATTGAGATATGGCTAGGATATAGGACACATTGAGATATGGCTTGGATATTTGACACATTGAGATATGGCTAGGATAAAGGACACATTGAGATATGGCAAAGTATTCGCCACATTGATATATGGCTAGGGTATTAACACATTGAGATATGGCTAAGATATTTGACAAATTGAGATATGGCTAGGATATTTGACACATTGAGATATGATTAGGATGTTTGACACATTGAGATATGGGTAGGATATTTGACACATTGATATATGGCTAGGATATTTGACACATTGAGATATGGCTAGGATATTGGACACATTGAGATATGGCAAGGTATTTGACACATTGATATATGGCTAGGATATTTGACACATTGAGATATGGCTAGGATATTGGACACATTGAGATATGGCAAAGTATTTGACACATTGATATATGGCTAGGATATTTGACACATTGAGATATGGCTAGGATATTGGACACATTGAGATATGGCAAAGTATTTGACACATTGATATATGGCTAGGATATTTGACACATTGAGATATGGCTAGGATATTGGACACATTGAGATATGGCAAAGTATTTGCCACATTGATATATGGCTAGGATATTTGACACATTGAGATATGGCTAGGATATTTGACACATTGAGATATGGCTAGGATATTTGACACATTGAGATATGGCTAGGATATTTGACACATTGAGATATGGCTAGGATATTTGACACATTGAGATATGGCTAGGATATTTGACACATTGAGATATGGCTAGGATATTTGACACATTGAGATATGGCTAGGATATTTGACACATTGAGATATGGCTAGGATATTTGACACATTGAGATATGGCTAGGATATTGGACACATTGAGATATGGCTAGGATATTGGACACATTGAGATATGGCTAGGATATTTGACACCTTGAGATATGGCTAGGGTATTAAACATTGAGATATAGCTAGGATATTTGACACATTGAGATATGGCTAGGATATTTGACACATTGAGATATGGCAAGGTGTTTGAAACATTGATATATGGCTAGGATATTTGACACATTGAGATATGGCTAGGATATTGGACACATTGAGATATGGCAAAGTATTTGCCACATTGATATATGGCTAGGATATTTGACACATTGAGATATGGCTAGGATATTGGACACATTGAGATATGGCTAGGATATTTGACACATTGAGATATGGCTAGGATATTGGACACATTGCGATATGGCTAGGATATTGGACACATTGAGATATGTCTAGGATATTTGACACATTGAGATATGGCTAGGGTATTTGACACATTGAGATATGGCTAGGATATTTGACACATTGAGATATGGCAAGGTGTTTGAAACATTGATATATGGCTAGGATATTTGACACCTTGAGATATGGCTAGGGTATTAACACATTGAGATATGGCTAGTATATTGGACACATTAAGATATGGCTTGGATATTTGACACATTGAGATATGGCAAGGTGTTTGAAACATTGATATATGGCTAGGATATTTGACACATTGAGGTATGGCTAGGATATTGGACACATTGCGATATGGCTAGGGTATTGGACACATTGAGATATGGCAAAGTATTTGCCACATTGATATATGGCTAGGATATTTGACACAATGAGATATGGCTAGGATATTGGACACATTGCGATATGGCTAGGATATTGGACACATTTAGATATGGCAAAGTATTTGCCACATTGATATATGGCTAGGATAGTTGACACATTGAGATATGGCTAGGGGATTAACACATTGAGATATGGCTAGTATATTGGACACATTAAGATATGGCTTGGGTATTTGACACATTGAGATATGGCTTGGATATTTGACACATTGAGATATGGCTAGGATATTTGACACATTGAGATATGACTAGGATATTTGACACATTGAGTGTGCTGTGAGCTGTTGTGTGTGCTGTATGTGTTGTATGTGTTAGGTAACAGAGGATGATTAGCTGTTGTGTGTGTTGTATGTGTTGTATGAGTTAGGTTACAGAGGATGATTAGCTGTTGTGTGTGCTGTATGTGTTGTATGAGATAGGTTACAGAGGATGATTAGCTGTTGTATGTGCTGTTTGTATTGTATGTGTTGTATGTATGGTATGTGTTGTATGTATTGTATGTGTTGTATGTATTGTATGTGTTGTATGTATTGTATGTGTTGTATGTATTGTATGTGTTGTATGTATTGTATGTGTTGTATGTATTGTATGTGTTGTATGTGTTGTATGTATTGTATGTGTTGTATGTATTGTATGTGTTGTATGTATTGTATGTGTTGTATGTATTGTATGTGTTGTATGTATTGTATGTGTTGTATGTATTGTATGTGTTGTATGTATTGTATGTGTTGTATGTATTGTATGTGTTGTATGTATTGTATGTGTTGTATGTATTGTATGTGTTGTATGTATTGTATGTGTTGTATGTATTGTATGTGTTGTATGTATTGTATGTGCTGTATGTATTGTATGTGCTGTATGTATTGTATGTATTGTATGTGTTGTATGTATTGTATGTGCTGTATGTATTGTATGTATTGTATGTGTTGTATGTATTGTATGTGTTGTATGTATTGTATGTGCTGTATGTATTGTATGTGTTGTATGTATTGTATGTGCTGTATGTATTGTATGTGTTGTATGTATTGTATGTGCTGTATGTATTGTATGTGTTGTATGTATTGTATGTGCTGTATGTATTGTATGTGTTGTATGTATTGTATGTGTTGTATGTATTGTATGTGTTGTATGTATTGTATGTATTGTATGTGTTGTATGTATTGTATGTGTTGTATGTATTGTATGTGTTGTATGTATTGTATGTATTGTATGTGTTGTATGTATTGTATGTGTTGTATGTATTGTATGTGTTGTATGTATTGTATGTGTTGTATGTATTGTATGTATTGTATGTGTTGTATGTATTGTATGTGTTGTATGTATTGTATGTGCTGTATGTATTGTATGTGCTGTATGTATTGTATGTGCTGTATGTATTGTATGTGTTGTATGAGTTGTATGTATTTATGTGTGGTATGTATTGTTTGTGTTGTGTGTATTGTGTGTATTGTTTGTGTTGTATGTGTTGTATGTGTTGTATGTGTTGTATGTGCTGTATGTGTTGTATGTGTTGTATGTATTATATGTGCTGTATGTATTGTATGTGCTGTATGTATTGTATGTGCTGTATGTGCTGTATGTGTTGTATGTGTTGTATGTATTGTATGTGTTGTATGTATTGTATGTGCTGTATGTGTTGTATGTGTTGTATGTATTATATGTGCTGTATGTATTGTATGTGCTGTATGTATTGTATGTGCTGTATGTGCTGTATGTGTTGTATGTGTTGTATGTATTGTATGTGTTGTATGTATTGTATGTGCTGTATGTATTGTATGTATTGTATGTGTTGTATGTATTGTATGTGTTGTATGTATTGTATGTGCTGTATGTATTGTATGTACTGTATGAATTATATGTATTGTATGTGCTGTATGTGTTGTATGTATGGTATGTGCTGTATGTATTGTATGTGTTGTATGAGTTGTATGTGTTGTATTTGCTGTATGTATTGTATGTATTGTATGTGCTGTATGTATTGTATGTGCTGTATGTATTGTATGTGCTGTATGTATTGTATGTGCTGTATGTGCTGTATGTATTGTATGTGTTGTATGAGTTGTATGTATTTATGTGTGGTATGTATTGTTTGTGTTGTGTGTATTGTTTGTGTTGTGTGTATGGTTTGTGTTGTATGTGTTGTATGTGTTGTATGTGTTGTATGTGTTAGGTAAGAGAGGATGATTAGCTTTTGCGTGTATTGTAGGAAGCAGATGAGGTCCAGTCACATTTGGTCAAGTGGGACAACTTTATGGTAGGCCAGACAGGAAAACCCCTTGTCAGGTCGGCCGAACTGAAGGGACTGGTACGCATGGGGGTTCCTCATGAGCACAGAAGTCACATATGGAAAGGGTAAGTTACATTTCTGTATGTATCTTATGTGTGACGAAAGGGAAAATTCAACTTTATTTCGTAGCAGCAAAAATGTAAAATGCAGAAAAGTAAAACCTAAAAGATGACAATCTCTATTGATGAAAACCCTGGTAAACACTAATTAGAAATGTTCAAGGATTTTAGGCTAAAATTATTTGAGAAGGATAATTAGTGTTGTGTTCTCAAACATTTAATATAAAGAAATTGCAAAAAGATGTTCAAAATGTTCAAAACCTTCTTAGCACATCCACAAAACTTGTTTGACTTTCTTGTAACTTGGAGAGTGAATATATAAGATATATAGATGTGCATGATGGATAGTGGCTAGCAAAGGTTAATAGTTTAGTCAGGTGGTGTAAATGAGTGTTTCCTGCAGATATGTTTTGAAACGTCACATAGAAACACTTATTGGTTGTGTTACAAGAATCCTTTCATAATCCATAATTACCAACCTGTAGAAAGTGTTTAGAAATAATGATTGTTGTATTTATTTGTAGGTGTGTGAACTTTTATGTGAATGACAACAGAGATAAGTTGGGTCCACACTACTACAAGGGTCTGATCTCACGGTCAAGTAATACCACCCATCACGATCCTGCTGCCAAACAGGTAAACTTGTGTTAGACATAGTCTCATGAACCTCACACGATCCTGCTACCAAACAGGTAAACTTGTGTTAGACATAGTCTCAAGACCTCCCATGATCCTGCTGCCAAACAGGTAAACTTATGTTGGACATAGTCTCATGAACCTCCCATAATCCTGCTGCCAAACAGGTAAACTTGTGTTAGACATAGTCTCATGAACCTCACATGATCCTGCTGCCAAACAGGTAAACTTGTGTTAGACATAGTCTCATGAACCTCACACGATCCTGCTACCACACAGGTAAACTTGTGTTAGACATAGTCTCAAGAACTCCCATGATCCTGCTGCCAAACAGGTAAACTTATGTTGAACATAGTCTCATGAACCTCCCATAATCCTGCTGCCAAACGGGTAAACTTATGTTAGACATAGTCTCATGAACCTCCCATGATCCTGCTTCCAAACAGGTAAACTTGTGTTAGACATAGTCTCATGACCCTCACATGATCCTGCTGCCAAACAGGTAAACTTGTGTTTGACATAGTCTCATGAACCTCCCATGATCCTGCTTCCAAACAGGTAAACTTGTGTTAGACATAGTCTCATGAACCTCACATGATCCTGCTGCCAAACAGGTAAACTTGTGTTAGACATAGTCCTAGCTATTACTAGGCTTACAGTTCTGGCTAACTTGATACACTAACGATAATGATTTCTAATTTTACAAATGGTTACAAATTGAAATGTTTATTCATTAACAGTTGAAAATAAGCTGCAGCTGATTTCCAAAGTTTTATGACGTGTTTTTGTCTCTGTCTATAATTTCTATAACATTTTCTGTGGAAACATATGTGAGGATATGTATTCTGATTGTACTGACTTGCAGTCATATGGTTCAGACAGGTGGTACATATCCCCCGGTACTTGCTTTATCAAAGATGGTTAGAACATTACTTGTCTGATGAGAATAACAGAACATTCAACTTGTACATGTATTATCAATGATTGCTGTATCTTTGCTTTATCGGCTTATGAGAACAACTGATAGCAGATTACCTATGAAATTATCTTTTGTTAAAGAGGCCATTAATTAATCATAAATACTTGAGTGAAAAATCATGGACTGAAGACAGGAATGCCTATTGCAAAAACAACTTTATATCAACTTGTCTTTAATTCTTAGAATTTGTTCAAGTTGATAATTCTTTTTTGTTTTTAACCACATCAGATAGAACTGGACTTGTTAAGAACCCTGCCGAACAACAAGTATTACGAGAGTTCAGATTCGGATGGTGTAGCCAAGCTGCGACGTATATTAGTGGCCTACAGCCTTCATAACCCAGTCATTGGATACTGTCAGGTAACTACAGTCTCCATAACCCAGTCACTGGATACTGTCAGGTAACTACAGTCTCCATAACCCAGTCATTGGATACTGTCAGGTAACTACAGTCTCCATAACCCAGTCATTGGATACTGTCAGGTAACTACAGTCTCCATAACCCAGTCATTGGATACTGTCAGGTAACTACAGTCTCCATAACCCAGTCATTGGATACTGTCAGGTAACTACAGTCTCCATAACCCAGTCATTGGATACTGTCAGGTAACTACAGTCTCCATAACCCAGTCATTGGATACTGTCAGGTAACTACAGTCTCCATAACCCAGTCATTGGATACTGTCAGGTAACTACAGTCTCCATAACCCAGTCATAGGATACTGTCGGGTAACTACAGTCTCCATAGCCCAGTCATTGGGTACTGTCAGGTAACTACAGTCTCCATAAACCAGTCATAGGATACTGTCGGGTAACTACAGTCTCCATAGCCCAGACATTGGGTACTGTCAGGGAACTACAGTCTCTATAGCCCAGTCATTGGATCCTGTCAGGTAACTACAGTCTCCATAACACAGTCATTGGATACTGTCAGGTAACTACAGTCTCCATAACCCAGTCATCGGATACTGACAGGTAGCTACAGTCTCTATAACCCAGTCATTGGATACTGTCAGGTAACTAGTCTCTATAGCCCAGTCATTGGATACTGTCAGGTAACTACAGTCTCTATAACCCAGTCATTGTATACTGTCAGGTAACTACAGGCTCCATAACCCAGTCATAGGATACTGTCGGGTAACTACAGTCTCTTTAAACCAGTCATTGGAGACTGTCAGGTAACTACAGCTTCCATAAACCAGTCATTGGAGACTGCCAGGTAACTACAGTCTCTTTAACACAGTCATTGGAGACTGCCAGGTAACTACAGTCTCGATAACCCAGTCATTGTATACTGTCAGGTAACTCCAGTCACCATAACCCAGTCATCGGATACTGTCAGGTACCTACAGCCTTCATACCCCAGTCATTGAAGACTGTCAGGTACCTACAGCCTTCATAACCCAGTCATTGGATACTGTCAGGTAACTACAGCTGCCATAACCCAGTCATTTGATACTGTCAGGTAGCTACAGTCTCTATAACCCAGTCATTGGATACTGTCAGGTAACTACAGCCTCCATAACCCAGTCATTGGATACTGTCAGGTAACTACAGTCTCTATAACCCAGTCATTGGATACTGTCAGGCAACTACAATCTCCATAACCCAGTCATTAGATACTGTCAGGTAACTACAGTCTCCATAACCCAGTCATTGGATACTGTCAGGTAACTCACTTTGAAGGTTGGCTTTCATACACATCAGTATTAAGTTTAGATCAAAAGTTACCTCAAGGTGCATTTACTGTTAACATGACCCGATCAAACAGATTTGAGAAAAGAAGAGAAAAGATCGAACTGACAAAGAACTAATGAAGATGGTACAATGGTGGGCGCCAAGATCCCTCTGGGATATGTTGTTAATTGTATATGGTCACTACTGTGTTTTTTTCCATGCTTTGTTTTGACTACCAGTTGTTGATCTTGATTCTACAGTTAACATAATTATGGACTTCATTAAATTTCAGAACAATTTCTCACTTACAGTGAATTCATGTTCTTTTTCTAGATTTTATGTCATGGTGAATTAAAAAATAATTGATTTTGAAATGTTTTAGGCTTGACATGTATTATTTTGTCAAGTACATAACAAGCTAAGATCTAGGAGGCAATGTTCCCGAGAATTAAATATTGAGGTTGTTCCTGGTATTAAATAAACAGACAGTGAGCCTTTTTATATCTGCCACCTGTGTATTCTGACATCATGTTTAATCCAGCTAATTTGTTGAATACTATTGGGTTTCTGATGAGACAGGTTTTGTAAAGAAGAGAGAAGATAATATAAATTGTCATCTGTTAATATTTTTGTAGGCGATTCTTTTTGCCATTTTCTTGAATATTACAGAACTAGATACACTTTTATAAAATGTTTATTCTGTAAATAACCTTGGTTGATATATCTGAAATATTGTTTATAATGACAGGGTCTGAACAGACTGGCGGCCATTGGTTTGCTGTTCCTAGAGGAGGAGGAAGCTTTCTGGTTATTAGTGGCCATTGTAGAACACATCATGCCAAAGGATTATTACAGCAGAACTCTGATAGCGGCTCAAGCTGACCAGGTAGGTGATAGAGGCTCACTGACCAGGTAGGTGATAGGGGCTCAAGCTGACCAGGTAAGTGATAGCGGCTCAAACTGACCAGGTAGGTGATAGGGGCTCAAGCTAAACAGGTAGGTGATAGCATCTCACTGACCAGGTAGGTGATAGTGGCTCACTGACCAGGTAGGTGATAGCGGCTCAAGATAAACAGGTAGTTGATAGCATCTCACTGACCAGGTAGGTGTTAGTGGCTGACTGACAAGGTAGGTGATGACTGCTCACTGACCAGGTAGCTGATAGCGGCTGACTGACAAGGTAGGTGATGGCTGCTCACTGACCAGGTAGGTGATAGCAGCTAAAGCTTACCAATTTAGGAGATAGGGGCTCGAGCTAACCAGGTAGGTGATAGTGGCTCACTGACCAGGTACGTGAAAGTGGCTCACTGACAAGGTAGGTGATAGTGGCTCACTGACAAGGTAGGTGATAGTGGCTCACTGACAAGGTAGGTGATAGCGGCTCAAGCTAAACAGGTAGGTGATAGCATCTCACTGACCAGGTAGCTGATAGCGACTCAAGCTGACCAGGTAGGTGACAGAGGCCAAGCTGACCAGGTAATTGACAGCAGGATGTGATTGTGACCAAGACTAACCAGGTATAGGTGACAGCAGGTTGTAATAGAGACCTAGACTGACCAGGTAGGTGACAGTTTCAACACCCCAGGTGAAGACAATCTACACAAACTGTAATAAATAATGGAGTAACATCATAAAAACAATCAACATGTTTATGCATCAACAATAGAAGATTATGGAATGAAATTCATGGGAATTCAATCAACACTTGTATATGAGGTGAGAGAAAAATAACCATTCACCATTTTGGTAAGGTTTTTAAATGTCTATCCCTCAGTATATCCTGGGGCTAAACATTTAGAATTTTACCTCTTGGGTTGAGATTTTCCTGTCTTGCTTCCAATGGTAGGAAAGATCTTATTCAGTTTTCGTTTACATTGTTATCATAGATACTTTATGATAGTCATTCATTTGAATGTCACTTCTAAGAAATCAAAGATCAAAGGTCATGAGAATATTTATTGTTGTGTACAGAGAGTTCTGAAGGACATGGTCCAGGATAAGTTGCCTCGTCTGTATGCCCACTTCGAGTCCCACGATGTCGACCTGTCACTCTTCACCTTCAACTGGTTCCTCACCATCTTTGTAGACAACATCCCAGTGGAGACATTTCTCAGGGTGTGGGACGCTTACCTGTACGAGGGAAGTAAGGTACGTTACCAGCCAAAAGGTTCATAATACCATTCATCTGCACTCATTGCATGTGACATGCTTTACCTGTCATTAACCTTTAGATATTTTCTACTTCTTAAAAACTGATAAACCAGTTTCATTGAAATTTGTTATGAAGATTTCTTAGGCCAAATAGAAGTTACTTTTTCAGATTAGGGGTTCTGATCCCCTGGTGTTGCGGTGAGTGAGGGGCCAAAAAGGGAGAAATATTTTCTCTGGTTTCAGAAATACTTCAATGTAATTCCTTCAAAGGATGTAAAAGACAAAGAAATCAAAATTTTATTTCAGTCAGATTCTCTGTTTTCTCCTGGTGATAATTTGATTATTGCTTCATAAGAAAAAGGACATTTCTGACTTCTCTGGTTGATCAACTGATTCAACAGATTTTACAACCAGTTTTCTAGGGCAAAGTGTATGGACTGTGTTGTATCATTCAGCAAGATACTTTACTCCGCTTGTTCCAGTACTCAGCTGTAAATGAGTATGTGGTAGGGCAGTGCTAGAATATTGAATGCTAGCTGTGAGCGCCGAAATTGCAGCACCGGCTGTATGCTCCCCAGTGAGTTGAGAAAGATATTGGCTGGTTGCATAGGCCCTATCACCACAGATAATAATTTGTGAATCGCTTTGAGATGACCTACGAACTAGGTTCTAATAAAGCGGTATATATAAGAACCTCGAATTATAGAAAAAGACTAAAACCAAAATTAGTTTTTATTCCTCTATGGCCATGCAACAAGAGCCTAGAAAGGGGGAAATTCACTAAATTTTCAAAAATCTACTAGCAAATGCTCATTAGATATGGAGGATATAGCATTTTTTATGAAATTGCATTGCAAATTTCCTTTTTCTCAGATTCCTCTCTGCTTCTGCGGAAGGGGTAAAGTTTACTTTAGGTATATGGGAAAATAGCCTTTTTGGACTTCTCAATATTTAACTATGAACCAATTACCTATTGAAATTGGATAGTAAATGGGGAAGTGAAAGTGTAAAAATAGCATTAGTGCAGGTGGGGAAATATGGTTATACAGTAACTTGTTTGAAGGAGTCAAACATGGAGAAATGTTTTTATCACTTCCTCGTCACAAATGGACTATACCCATAAGCATATAACAATATTTATATCTATAATGGTTAGACAATGTATTGTATTTATATCTATAATGGTTAGACAATGTATTGTATTTATATCTATAATGGTTAGACAATGTATTGTATTTATATCTATAATGGTTAGACAATCTATAATGGTTAGATAATGTATTGTATTTATATCTATAATGGTTAGACAATGTATTGTATTTATATCTATAATGGTTAGACAATGTATTGTATTTATATCTATAATGGTTAGACAATGTATTGTATTTATATCTATAATGGTTAGACAATGTATTGTATTTATATCTATAATGGTTAGACAATGTATTGTATTTATATCTATAATGGTTAGACAATGTATTGTATTTATATCTATAATGGTTAGACAATGTATTGTATTTATATCTATAATGGTTAGACAATGTATTGTATTTATATCTATAATGGTTAGACAATGTATTGTATTTATATCTATAATGGTTAGACAATGTATTGTATTTATATCTATAATGGTTAGACAATGTATTGTATTTATATCTATAATGGTTAGACAATGTATTGTATTTATATCTATAATGGTTAGACAATGTATTGTATTTATATCTATAATGGTTAGACAATGTATTGTATTTATATCTATAATGGTTAGACAATGTATTGTATTTATATCTATAATGGTTAGACAATGTATTGTATTTATATCTATAATGGTTAGACAATGTATTGTATTTATATCTATAATGGTTAGACAATGTATTGTATTTATATCTATAATGGTTAGACAATGTATTGTATTTATATCTATAATGGTTAGACAATGTATTGTATTTATATCTATAATGGTTAGACAATGTATTGTATTTATATCTATAATGGTTAGACAATGTATTGTATTTATATCTATAATGGTTAGACAATGTATTGTTTTTATATCTATAATGGTTAGACAATGTATTGTTTTTATATCTATAATGGTTAGACAATGTATTGTATTTATATCTATAATGGTTAGACAATGTATTTTATTTATATCTATAATGGTTAGACAATGTATTGTATTTATCATGCAGTAAACCCAGGGGACCAAGAAATAATCTCTGACACAAAGCAGGGGAATAGGCTCAGTACAGGACAATAAAATAGCATGTGCTGGAATTTCTTCTGAACTTCAAAAACATGGGTTTATTGCCAGACAAATACAGCATATACCCTTAAAACATGAACATACTGGACAATCAAATAATGTTAATTTGATGCTTGATTGATGAAAAATCTATGTTTTTCTTGTCAGATGCTGTTTCGTTTTGCTGTGGCCTTTTTCAAAATGGCAGAGGAGGATATTTTACAACAGGATAGTACACTGGCAGTCAACCACTATATGAGAGTTATAGGAGAGAAGATGGTTAATGTTCGTAAGATTTCACAGGTAATGGTAATAATGTGTCTTAGCAGACCCAGCTATTTCACAGGAAATAGTAATACAGTCTATATTGTGTATTAGGCAAGTTGAACTGTATGTTCTTACTATATCAGTTGTCGTATTTGCTACCTGTATATTTGATAGACTCTATGTTAGGAATGCATGACTGTCGTAAAATAACAACCAGTGTTAGGAATGCATGACTGTCGTAAAATAACCCTGGTTGTTGTTAGAATATCAAACCCTGGATTTATAGTAATGCATGGGATTATTTATAGAATGTTAGAGGTAAAAAAAATCAAATCTACAGAATGAATCAGAATTGAGTTAACAGAATGTTTACATTGACAGTTCGCCTTTAACTGGATCAACCCTTTCCCAATGAAGAATATCGCCACCAAACGGCAGTTCTACCTCCAACAGCTCAGGGTAAGTTATAAACAAGGGGAGAGCACCCATGTTAAACAACGGGAGAGCATCCGTCCACCTGTCCTGTAGGGATAGGAATAGACTAGGTATGGCTGAGTTTTACTATTCAGTCCTAGTGACAAGTCATTTTGACAGCCTTCAAACCCTTTTTGCTGTTATGCAATATAACTGAACTTATAATTCATCAAGAAGAATGGTTAGAAGTATCCCTAATATTGCCAGTATTGAAATGGCTATTGTCTGCTGTTGAAATGTCTATTGTCTACTGTTGAAATGTCTATTGTCTACTGTTGAAATGTCTATTGTCTACTGTTGAAATGTCTATTGTCTACTGTTGAAATGTCTATTGTCTACTGTCACCTTAATGTGTTTGCAGCCCTATGAAAGCAATTTCTTAAGGTTGTATTTATGTAGGGTCACAGCAGAAGGGCATTTATAACTGTTGGTTATAAATATATTTCTGCTGTAAACCTTTACATAAACACAACCCAAAAAAATAAATTCATTTATTTGAATATGATATGAAATTGTCTTTTAGTTTGTAATGTTGAAATGTGTTTGCTGTAGGGTGAACTTGCGGAGCTGGATCGCCTAAGAGAAGACATTAGGAGCCAACGTACCACATCTGAATACAGAGAATTCTTCAGTGATGATGAGTTATAGCACTCTCCTTGTGCAATGGCAAATGTTTGTAGAGTGTTACTTCTCTAATACGACCTCTGAGTGTTCTGTCCAATCCAACATAATTCTATATTCACATGTCACATCAAAACTACCAAATATGACATGTGTGTTCAACTCAGTATCTGACTCTCTGTTTGAAGCAAGCTGGATTCCAGTTAGACATTCAAGAATATCAACCTCGCATTGAGATTTCTCTGTTATTCTTCCCATCAGGGATGTCTGACAATGTCCAGGATTTACTACACCATAGTAAGCTCAAATGAACAAGTAAATACAGCTTGACTGTTGGATGTTTCAGTTGAGAAACTATGTTGGCAATGCCCTGAGTATGAGAGATTCAACACAAGATTTAATAGCATTTGGAGGTTGCTCCTTCAATATGCTGCTGTTAATGGCTGTTCAATGATGACCCCACCCTGTTGTTATTATGTCAAAGACATGATGCCATTTTTTATGGATAATAATAGTGATATGTCAGTTTCCCTGCTTGGAACTTCGTGCTAATTTTTCCCTTGTTTGGCACAAAGTGCCTGTAAATGTATGCAATGGTACACCATCTGTCTCTCGTCCAGGCTATATTTTTCCTTTATACACACAACTTGAGGATCCCTGATGTAATGAAACATTATATCTGATCAGTATTGCTTGCTGGGATGAGTTAAGGACTATCAACTTAGTTCAACTAAATGATCTTGACCCAATATCAAGGTCACTGGGGCCAGATATGTTTAAAACTTCAAACAGCTTCAAAAATATCCATGGCCTTGGTCTGTAGTTTGAAGGGCTATCAAATTTGTTCAAATAAATATGACCTTTAACCACTTTGAAGGTCACAGATGTAAAATGTGATTTGCAACAAGATTCAATAACAGGTGAGTGATATATCAGGCCCAGTGGGCCTCTTGTTAAAATGATAAATGCAATGTAAATGAACATTATATTGATATGTGCAATACTATTGTATAAACTTGTCTTGTAGCATTTTAGATTCGAAGCATTCCATTTTGAACATAATATGTACTAAATTATGTATTACATTGATTCTCATTTTGTTGTTAGTACACAAAGGAGCCTGTAACAATGGTTTGTACAAAATTTATTAATTATTTTATAAGATTTTTAATCTACCATATTTTCTAACAAATGTGTTTACAACGCAGCCTTAATAATCCAGCCTCCTTCATTTCCAGCATAAGCTTAAAGGTGAGTGGATTGTGAAACAGATGGATTAAAAGGACAATTTAATGTATGAAAAAGGGCTAGTATGTCCCCTAAAACACTTAGTGGATTAAGTAGGTTTGCCTGTAGTCTACATATGGCTAATGACTTGAAGGAATTTATTCAGCTGAAATCGGATTTTATATATTGATATATGATAGAGAAACTGGATGAAGTCTATTAGAGTTCTATTATAGCCATGGAGTTTTGTAAGTTAAGTTTTTTCTGATCCAATAGACTGTTCTGGTGTTCATCTCAATTTCAGTACTTGAATGACTGTGTTGGAGAATGCTAGCAGTCTTAGGACTATTTCCCACCATACTGATTTAATTTGTGTATTTTGACAAACGTCCATATTTACTTTCATCATACCATTTCTATGTACATTTCTTTAAAAGATTCTATCTTATATCTTATTCTTTATAATTTATCTATGGCATATGCAAATTTTTCACATACATTACCAGTCATTATAGAGATATTTTTCTTGATTGTAGTGCTATTATTATTATTATTAAATTCCCCACCAAATCAATGTATGTAAAGCCTATTTATATTAGAAACATGATGTAATCGATTATGTCAACAAGTATGTGAAAAAAATTGAAGTTGTTTTTAGCTCACCTGGCCCTAAGGGCCAAGTGAGCTTATGGCATACCGTAGCATCCGTCGTCTGTCAACTTTTTACATTTTAATCTTCTTCAAAACTACTGGGCCAATTTTGACCAAACTTGACATGAAACATTACTAGGACATGGGGATCTGAATTCATGAAATTTATGGGGCTACGCCCCCAGGAGCCTGAGGGGCAGGGCCAAATAGGTAAAAAAAATGGAGTCATCTTTGAAAATCATCTTCTCTACTCCTACAAGTTATAGAGAGTAATGGCACATTTAATTATAATCATCAACTAGCCCTCTTTTGAATTTATGAAATTTATGGCCCAGGGGTCAAGGAGTCAAGAGGTAGGGCGGGGTCAATATTGTGTACTTGTTATGTAATTATGTATTTATACATTTAATTTTTATTCTTCAAAAACTACAGGGCCAATTTTGACCAAATTCGACTTGGAAGATCACTAGGACATGGGGATCTAACTTAATAAAATGTATGGGGCTGCACCACCAGGGGCCTGAGGGGTGGGGCCAAATAGGTAAAAAATGGAATAATCTTTAAAAATCTTCTTCTCTACTCCTTCAAGTAACAGAGAGTAATGGCACATCATAATCATCAACTGGCTCTCTTTTGAATTTATGAAATTTATGGCTCTTGGGTCAAGGGGTCAAGTGGTATGGTGGGGTCAATATTGTATGTTATGGATCTTTAAAACAGTTGAGATCCCCACCCCATTACCATATATAGTATTGCTGGGCATCAAGAGATAAACACAATTATGATGTAAAAATAGGCCCTGGGGTCTTTCTCCATCCGTAGGAACTTAGTTTCTGGGTTATATCTTTGAAACAGTCGCGATCCCCACCCCATAACAATAAATAGCATTGCTGGGCATCAAGAGATAAACACAATCATAATGTAAAAATAGGCCCTGGGGTCTTTCCCCATGCCTAGGGACTTAGTTTCTGGGTTATATCTTTGAAACTGTTGAGATCCCCACCCGATAACCATATATAGCATTGCTGGGCATCAAGAGATAAACACAATCATGATGTAAAAATAGGCCCTGGGGTCTTTCTCCACCGCTAGGGACTTAGTTTCTGGTTTATATCTTTGAAACAGTTGAGATCCCCACCCCATAACCATATATACAATTGCTGAGTATAGAAAGACGAATGCACATATGCTTCCAGGAAGGCCCTGGGGTCTACCCTACCCTTGGAGACTTAACCCTGAGTCATAACTTCGAAATGGTTAATATCCCCACCCCTAAACTATATATATAAATGCTGGGCATAAAGAGATGAATGTAGTTATGATATGAGAATGGACCCCAGGGTCTGCCCAACCCTTGCAGACTTAACCCCTGGGTCATAACTTTGAAACGGTTGAGATCCCCACCCCAAAACTATTGATACAAATGCTGGGCATAAAGAGATGAATGTAGTTATGAGAATGGACCCCAGGGTCTGCCCAACCCTTGCAGACTTAACCCCTGGGTCATAACTTTGAAACGGTTGAGATCCCCACCCCAAAAGTATATATACAAATGCTGGGCACAAAGAGAGGAATGCAGTCATGATATTACAATTGATCCTGGGGTCTGGCCATAACCTATGGAGCTTGTTTCTGAGTCACAGCTTGGAAACAGTTGAGATCCCAACCCCATAACCATACATAAAATTGTTGGGCATGAACAATCTAATCTAGATATGCTACAAGGATGAGCACAGGGGTCTGGCCCATTCCCTTGGATCTTATTTGAAGAATATTTTGCCATGATTGCTTAGATATCCAGGTGAGCAATACAGGTCCTCTGGGCCTGTTGTTTATGGTATAAAATGTATTTCAGTTTTTAGCTCACCTGGCCCGAAGGGCCAAGTGAGCTTATTCCATGGTGCAGCGTCCGTCGTCCGGCGTCCGGCGTCCCGCGTCCGTCAACTTTTTCCTTTAAAATGCTACTTGCCCTGAATGGCTCAGAGGATTTTGACCAAATTTGGTCAGGAGCATCATTGGCCAAAGGGTTCTCAGTTTTGTAGAAACGGAGGGTATAACCCCCCTGGGGGCAGAGGGGCGGGGGCAAATAGGGGAAAAATAGGTAAATCTTTAAAAATCTTCTTCTCCTCAACCAATAGAAGGATTTTGACCAAATTTGTCCTAGAGCATCTTTGGACAAAGGAGACTCAAGTTTGTATAAACGGAGGGTGTGGCCTCTTTGGGGGCAGAGGGGCGGGGCCAAATAGGGGAAGTAGAGGATTTTTTCTCTCCTACTATACAAGTAAATGGATTTAAACCAAATGCAGTCTGAAGCTTGGTCAGGAGCATCATTGGCCAAAGGGTTCTCAGTTTTGTATAAACGGACGGTATAGCCCCCCCTCGGGGCAGAGGGGCGGGGCTAAATAAGGGGAAAAAAGGGAAATCTTTAAAAATGTTCTTCTCAACCAATTGAAGGATTTTGACCAAATTTGTCCCAGAGCAACTTTGGACAAAGAAGACTCAAGTTTGTATAAATGGAGGGTGTGGCCCCTCTGGGGGCGGAGGGGCGGGGCCCAATAGGGGAAATAGAGGATTTTTTTTCTCATGCTATACAAGTGAAGGGATTTTAACCAAATGCAGTCTGAAGCATGATTAGGGACAAAAGAATCAATTTTGTATAAACTGAGGTGTGTGGGCCTCCTTCTAAGGGCAGATGGGTGGGGCCCATTAGGGGAAATAGAGGAAAACATCAAATATCCTTCTCCTTTTGTACCGATGAAGGGATTTTGACCAAATTTGGTCTGGAGCATATGCATTGGCCAAAGGGTTCTCAGTTTTGTATGAACGGAGGGTATGGTCCCCCTGGGGGCAGAGGGACGGGCCAAATAGGGGAAAACAGGTAAATCTTTAAAAATCTTCTCCTCAACCAATTGAAGGATTTTGACCAAATTTGTCCTAGAGCATCTTTGGACAAAGGAGACTCAAGTTTGTATAAATGGAGGGTGTGGGCCTTCTGGCGGCATAGGAGCGGGGCCCAATAGGGGAAATAGAGGATTTTTTTTCTCATGCTATACAAGTGAAGGAATTTTAACCAAATGCAGTCTGAAGCATGATTAGGGAGAAAAGAATCAATTATGTTTAAACTGAGGTGTGTGGATTCCCCTTCTTTGGGGCAGATTAGTGGGGCCCATTAGGGGAAATAGAGGAAAACATTAAAGATCCTTCTCCTTCTGTACCGTTGAAGGGATTTTAACCAAACCAAACTTGTTTTAGAGAATCTTTGGGCAAAGGGAATTCAATATTTATAAATGGAAGATGCAACTTTGTTACTTGTACTTCTTTGATAAACCTGAATGGTACTCAGCAGGTTTTAAATTGAAAAATAAAATACCAGGTGAGCTATTAAGGCCCCTGGGCCTCTTGTTTACATGTTTGAATTGAAATTGTATACCAAACCTTTTTGTCTATCATGTAAGTTTGCTAAGTTCTTCTGTTCAGCTCCTGTTCAATGTTCTGCTGTTAGTTTTTAGTAACTTCTCCTGCAGTTTGAACCATAAACTAGGATTTTCAATGATGTTTTTTCTTCAAAATGTGCAATACTTATTACCTGGTAATGGCAATGCAGCTCAGCAAAGTATTGTTAAGATGAAGATGGGGTATATGTAAAACTTCCTATGAGGGGCTTTTTATGTCCTGTAATTATATTTTTATAAGACTTTCTAATTGTTCTGATCGGTATATTATAACCAAGGGTACATTTACTAGGGATACATCAACCACAAATTTAATACTCATTTGTAAATTATTTATTTTATTTTGTGTGTTCCGCACTTTTAGAATCAAAATGTCTTTAATTTAATAACCAATGCAAGATGCATTCCTCTTTTTAACAGTTAAAGACTCAGTATGATTTCTTACCAATAGTGCTTATTAAGATGTTTTTTTGTTGTCAACTAACCGATGCCCAAGACTAAATTTTATGTAGGGGTTTGCAATTTTTTCTTTATTTACAATGATAAGAAGAAACAGGCCCGACTAGGAGACTATTTCAATGGTCCAATAATATATAAATTTCAAAATAAAAGAAGTTGATCGGACCTTTGAGGCACAGTTCACACAGCTAGTACTCTTTGGTACACCTATACTTTAATACAGTGCATTCATGTTTCATGTACTGATAAAACAGAATTATCCCTTCATCTTTTTCAACCAAAGGGTGCTTATTAGTAATTTTTAGCATTATGTGATAGTATTGTGAGCAAGATGATGTAAGATTGAGGAATGACAATAGCATGTGCAATAAATGGAGAGTGTTGGTGGATATACCAGGTATATATGTATGTAGTAAATGTACAAAAAATGGTAAGGAAGTATTGTTTTATCTATTTTATTGATGAGCCTATTGAGTCACTGGGACTTATTGAGTCACTGGGACTCTGTCACACAGCCATGAACAATTAAACAAGTAATGTTTGTTAATATGCACTGAAACTGATATGTAAACCTATATTGGTTTTTTTTATTCAACAAGAAGCGGTACCGAATTGGCTGTACATGAATTTCACAGCATTATAACAGAGTCATTTATAAACCTGACAGAACAGGTTCAACTCATTAGACTTGTTAGATAGCAGGGAGGCATCTCTCCTGATTATCTGGCTGCATGGGTGACCAACAATCACTCTCTGGAAATATCATATAATGAATAATAATTTGGAGATATAATTTGTTTTGTTTTTGTTAAAGTTTAGTAAGAGAAATGTCTAACTGCAAAAATGATTTTATCAAACTTATTACATTTTTATTTTGCACATTTATATTGTACATGAAACAAAAAACTTGTGAGATTAAGTGATTGACAGTTCGCATGTTGTTTTTGTTATATAAGTGCTAGATAAGGTTACAAAACACCGTACATATATACACATATGTATTGAGGGAAGTACAGGTAAGGAAGGCCTAAAGAAGGCAGACATTTAAATGATGATCCAAAGATTAATCACAACATATTTAGTGAGAGTGACCTACTTCCTGGATAAAAAAATCTCAATGATGGTTCCTAACTCTCACTGATATTATTATCAGCTATTAGAATTCCTAAAAATGTATAACTATATACAATGTACCAGTGATTTATTTCATCTTGCCACGAAGAGAAACAAAATCGGTTAGCACATTCCAAGTCTCAAAACTTTATTGTTATTTTTTTTAACTTTGTTGTTATCTGTTGAAAGATTGTGTTACAGTATACATGTATAATCTACAATAAAGCTTGAGGAAAAGTCCTGTAGACTGTAGATTGTGTTACAGTACACGTGTATAATCTACAAAAAAGCTAGAGGAAAAGTCCTGTAGACTGTAGATTGTGTTACAGTACCCGTGTATAATCTACAATAAAGCTTGAGGAAAAGTCCTGTAGACTGTAGATTGTGTTACAGTACACGTGTATAATCTACAATAAAGCTAGAGGAAAAGTTCTGTAGACTGTAGATTGTGTTACAGTACACGTGTATAATCTACAATAAAGCTAGAGGAAAAGTTCTGTAGACTGTAGATTGTGTTACAGTACACGTGTATAATCTACAATAAAGCTTGAGGAAAAGTCCTGTAGACTGTAGATTGTGTTACAGTACACGTGTATAATCTACAAAAAAGCTAGAGGAAAAGTCCTGTAGACTGTAGATTGTGTTTCAGTATACGTGTATAATCTACAATAAAGCTAGAGGAAAAGTTCTGTAGACTGTAGATTGTGTTACAGTACACGTGTATAATCTCCAATAAAGCTAGAGGAAAAGTCCTGTAGACTGTAGATTGTGTTTCAGTACACGTGTATAATCTACAATAAAGCTAGAGGAAAAGTCCCGTAGACTGTAGATTGTGTTTCAGTACACGTGTATAATCTACAATAAATCTAGAGGAAAAGTCCTGTAGACTGTAGATTGTGTTTCAGTACACGTGTATAATCTACAATAAAGCTAGAGGAAAAGTTCTGTAGACTGTAGATTGTGTTACAGTACACGTGTATAATCTACAATAAAGCTTGAGGAAAAGTCCTGTAGACTGTAGATTGTGTTACAGTACACGTGTATAATCTACAATAAAGCTAGAGGAAAAGTTCTGTAGACTGTAGATTGTGTTACAGTACACGTGTATAATCTACAACAAAGCTAGAGGAAAAGTCCTGTAGACTGTAGATTGTGTTACAGTACCCGTGTATAATCTACAATAAAGCTTGAGGAAAAGTCCTGTAGACTGTAGATTGTGTTACAGTACACGGGTATAATCTACAATAAAGCTAGAGGAAAAGTCCCGTAGACTGTAGATTGTGTTTCAGTACACGTGTATAATCTATAATAAAGCTAGAGGAAAAGTCCTGTAGACTGCACAGTAATTCATCTAAAAGAATATCCTACAGCAATATTCTGCAACTCAGATTGACTGTTTTTATTGTTTTTGAAGCTATTTAATATTAAGTCACAAGTTAATTTAAAAAGGAAACATAAATAGGAAAGTTAATAGCAAAGAGTTATTAAAATAGTTGGGTTATGAAATAAACTAAACATTGTCAGCCTAATACTACATTTCAGGATAATTTGATAGATTGGTTTAACTAAATAAACCTATAGTTTTAAATATTATTTCTAATCAATTGGAAGAATTACTGACCTGACAGTCCATTCAAGGAGGATTTCTGTCACCAAAGCTAATTTTGTATTGTTGATTTTTCAGATTTGTCAGTTCGTAAAGTGTAAAGTAAAATTTTGTTACAATTACAATATCTATCCTGTATTAACCCTTAGGCTGCTACGTACATGCATCATTGCGGTTTCGGGCCAACACCTAATATCTGACTCAAAGTAAAAGTGAGACTCATTACAGGACAAAGAATTAGCAGTTGTGGACATTTCTACTGAACTACAATAGATATGAGTGGGCTTATTAGCAGGCATGGGCTTATTGTAAGTTAAAACTTGTATTTTTACACTTAAATACTCGAGTATAGCTAAGAAATAAAAAAAGTTGATTGAGAGCTTGCCAGATGGGTGGGTCACGTTTACAATTAAAATAGCTGTTAATTATCTTTTAAAGTCCACCGATAAAACTGATTTTAAAAGCTTTTTTGTATTGAATAGCAATGTAATTTATGATCTTGATTATGTGTAATATGAACTCTGGTATTACATGTGTGTGCTATAATTATTTTTATATCATGGATAGGGGAAGTTGTTCAATTATACAAGTCGTTGTATTGTTATAAATAAATATTATGAAATATTTGTTATATCTGTGATCAAATAGTAATCCAATAAACAAGCTTAGATATTCAATACAGCTGTTGTTGTTTTTTGTTTGGTGTAACTTATTTTTTCTCCCCACACATGATGGTTGGGGGTATGGGGTTACAGAAGTTAAACACTTCAAACGACTTCTTCTGCAGAACCAAAAGGCCTAGAGTCATGTTATGCTGGTAGATTCCTTATAAAGTCAGAGGTCAGATATGTCTCAAACTTCAAACAACCTCTTCTGAAGAACTGAGAAGCCTAGAGTCGTGTAATAAGGCTAATAGCTTCCTGAAATGGAGCCACAAAGTTTGCAAACGAAAAATGACCTTGACTTACATTCAAGGTCACAAGAGGAAAAATATGTGTAAAGTTTCAAACAACTTCTGCTGAAGAACTGAAAGGCATAAATTCATGATATTTGACTGTTAGCTAGCTTAAATGGAGCCCAAAAAGTTTTGCTAACAAAAAAAGACTGAGCTAATTTTCAGGTCACTGGGGTCAAATATGTCAAAACTTAAAATAACTTTTGGAGAATCTGTACATTTGATGAAACTGTGGTATTCGACAGGTATAAATTAAAATAACAAATTTCAGGTGAGCTATTGTGGCCAATGGGCCTCTTGTTTCACTTAAATGACAGATTAGTTGACGTATATAATTAGTTGGATCTTTTATGCCATCAGGGCATCATGTTTGTCTTTTCAGTCCGTTCATATGATATTTTTGTAAGACATTGCATCCAGCTCCCTTTCTCTGATACACTAGAAATCCCATAGTGATCGAAGGTTATATGCATGTAGACACATTTGAGCATCACTACACCATTAAATGAAATGTCAATCATCGCAGCATTTATTTTTCACTTCACTGACTTTGGCAAGACTTTGCATTCTGAGTGAGCTCACTTTCTCTCATACTATAAGTCCCATAGTAATCATGTTCATATGCAGATACATCTACACTGTGATTAGCTCCCCTGGTTCAATGGATCAAGGTGAGCTTATGCCATATCTATTTCTTCAAACAATTTTTTCCATACCAATGAATAGGTTTTGACCTGTGATTCCCACCCTATTGTAATATATATATGATTGTTCAGCATGACAATTTGAATACACATATTCAATCATTTGCCCCAACTCTGGGAATTTATTTTAATTATTTCATTTAATGAGAATATTTCGTCATGATAACGTAAATATCAAGGTGAAAAATTCAGGCCCTCTGGACCTCTTGTATGAAATGTGGGTCATACTGTGTCCTATATTTTCCGCTTCACTCAATTTGGTTAATTTGTTTTTAGCTTTATTTCCTTGATACTACAAGTCCCTCAGTCATTGAACTAAAACACAACATACATCTTTCAGAGTACTTCAGTATCATGTAACATTTACACCACTGTGACCTGAATGTTTTCTTCACCAACTTTGATTTGACTTTGTGTATAACTCCATTTCTCAGATACTGCTAGTCCTATCATAATCCGACCATACCAGTGTTTCCAACGATGCCTTGGTCTCCTTTGACTCCAGTGTCTCCCACAGTTCCCTGTGGTCCAGTATTTCCAGTGTCTCCCTTCACACCAGTGTTTCCAATCACTCCTGTTGATCCTGTTGGTCCAGTAGATCCCATATCTCCAGTAGCACCAGTATTTCCCTCGACCCCTGAGGAACCTGCGACACCGCTCTCTCCTGTCTGTCCTCGAGACCCTGAACTACCTATCTCGCCCTTTGAGCCAGTGTCGCCTACTGAGCTGGTAAGCCCCTGAACTCCAGTATCACCTTTGGTACCTTGAATGCCTGTATTTCCCATCGATCCTGTATCTCCTTTCGTACCCTGTACACCAGATATACCTTGTACTCCTGTATCTCCAACCCCGCCTTTCGGTCCAGTGTTACCAACCATTCCAGTCAAACCTTAAATGCCAGTGTCACCTACTGCTCCCGTCTGCCCTTCCACACCTTGTGTTCCAGTAGCACCAACATCGCCCATGGCTCCCTGAATACCGGTATCCCCAACAAAGCCCTTTGTCCCCGTGTTGCCTTCATCTCCTTTGCTGCCAGTATTGCCAACTTGTCCAGTAACTCCCTGTATACCAGAATCACCTGCTTGACCAGTGGACCCAACGCTTCCTTTTGTCACCACTGTCTCCTTTGGCACCAGAATTTCCAGTTACACCCTCGACACCTTGTATTCCCGTGTCTCCAACACTACCTGTGACACCTTGATCGCCCTTTAGTCCTTGTTCTTCTTTATAACCAGTATTTCCAACCTGACCTGTTCCTCCAGTGGCACCCACATTTCCCGCCTGTAGTACCAACAGACCCAGTGGATCCAATATCTCCTTTCTGTCCAGTGTTACCATCATCTCGTCCAATTCCTTTTATACCAGTAGCACCCACTGCTCCCGTTTCCCCTTTAATGCATGTGTTACCAATTGACCCCTTTTCTCCCGTGTTGCCAACTTGTCCTTCGGTGCCTTTGCTACCAGTGTCTCCTTTCGAGCCTGTGATACCTGTATATCCAGTTGATCCAACGGGTCCCGTGTTCCCAACTGGATCCGTGTTTCCAATATCACCTTTCCCTCCATCATCTCCCTTTTGTCCAGTGCTGCCCACTTGTCCTGTAGACCCTGCTGATCCTGAGTTGCCAGTCTGGCCCTCTGGTCCAGTGCTACCTACATCTCCAGTCAAACCCTGAACTCCTTGCATATGCATATGCAATGCAAGGCCCAGCTCTTCACACACAGATAAAGAAAGATGTAATGCCTATCTTAGAAGACAGTACTCCTCTTTTGCTAGAAATCAATGGTCGTTATGCACTGATCTCACCAACCAATTCAATGAAGTTTCTTGTTTTGATCATTTTAGGTATTTTTCATTCCACGGTAATGTGACATTTCTCATTGTTTTTGGTTCTTTTTTTGCTAAAGTTTTGGGAAAACAAACTCAATATTAATTAGGAATAGTAATGAGTACTTTATCGTAGGAAATATAATATGTATGTAAAGAACACATTACCATTAAAATATGCTGGAAATGCAGTGGAAAAAGTTAAAATGCTCCTTATCCTTAAAACTACAGCACACTGTCCTGTAAAAAAATATATAACAAGCCATTTGAATCGATATGTCTCGCCTGTGCCCCACTTTGACCATCAAAGAACATGTCAAGTTTAGTTGGTCTATAGCACTTCTAGTTTCAGAGAAACGAACTTAAATGCCAAACGTTAATGTTGATGGAGATGCTGACAAAGTCAATGGACCATGAGAGGTAGGCAGCATTTGATGCATGGGTTGAGATGTACTACCTTAGATGCATCTATGGTGCAAAGTTTTCAAAAATAATTCAACAATGAAAGTAGAAAAAATGGACTATCATATTTATTCACATAGGTTATTGTCAAAACCAAGAATGAATTCATATAATTCAAAAATTGGAGAAATTGTCCAATTTTGAACAAAAATCTGACAATCATAATCCTGAAAGACTGACATGTTTTGCGCTTTAATGTAAACAAAGACTAATAATCCCATATCAAAGTTTCACGGACTTCCTTTTCAATATGATAACTTCACAATCTTATGTTACAAGTGTGAAAGTAACCCAGACTGACTTTACAAATAAGCAGTCAACATTTCCACAGCAACAGTGCACGAGAGCGTCCAATGTCTACACAATCCAACACTGTTTTGATCTAAGCTGCAGAACAACTGCTTCCTTCAGGTGTGACCGACCTAGTTAGATGTAAGGAAATGTCACTGGCCACCCATTTTGAGTACTCTCTTTGGTAGAGAATACAGAAAGGATGATCTGTTGAACAAACACCAACATTTTAGCTGCGGTTGATACCAACATCATAGCTGTGGTCAGGCGAAGGTGAAGACTTGGTCAGTCGGAGGTAAAGACTTAGATCAAGGCAGTGGTTTACAAGCCCCTTCATTAGCAAGACTGTCTGCTGCCTCATTCCCTAAGATACCCACATGTCCCCGTACATGAATCTGTAATGAAATATTTGCGATGTGAAGAATCCATGCTCTACTGTTGTAATGGTACTTAATATAATAAGTACTCAAGACTCTCCATTTCACATAAGATTTATAAAACAAATTGGTCAAAAAAAAATCCCATATGTGTGAGCGATTGGCAGCAAGCTAAGTTTGAAATAAAAAGATGCAGATTTTTTTTTTTTTATCACAAAGAATTTAGAATAACTTTGGACTTGGGATGAATCATTTTTATTCAAACATCCAAATGTAGGAAAACTAATTTTACTAATTGCTATTTCATTTAAAAAAAAATTGTTGTAAATATGAAGCAGGAATATATTTTGGCGAATCTCTGTGCGTTTCAAATCTTACCCATTCAATATTGATCCCGTCAGAAACGTGTTTCAAGTGAAGAAAATCCTCCTTGTTTTTAACAGGCCCACCACTGGAAAGCTTCCAATCATTTCTCTGCCAGCCTGACATCCATTTTGTTGCAGCTGAAATGGATTTTATCTAACAGTTTAACACAGACATTAGGGGATACTTCCATCCATCTGAACATTAAAATAAAAATATATATTATTTATTCATTTAGAATATATAAAGGATTAACATTTGATTTTTTCTTTAAGTAATTGGAGGAAAATTTCACATGTACTCAAGTGAACTGAATAATCGGTAAAGTACACATAATCAGCAAGGATTTATGTTACGGATCAAATTTTAGGATTTTTTCTGGGTGTGCTTATTTTTAGCGTTTGGAGAAAAATAAGACCCTGAGAACGAAGACACACGTACCGTTGATGAGGAACTGACTGTCAGTTTTGATGGTAATGCTGGGCATGCCTTGTGCCTTGGCCTGCTCTATTGCTCGACAGGCTGCCTGAAACATATCAATGAATTGTTTTTATCAACCAATCAACATTATGCGAAACAACTCTTCAAGCATTTATCTTATTTCCTAGCATGACTACTTATAATCTTATTTCCTAGCATGACTACTTATAATAATTTCTTTATATCATTGAATGATAACGGATTTTTTTTTCCTTTTCAGTATTACCTCTTATAGCACTATCCACATCGACATCAAAAACTGCCCACACAGAATAAAAATATCAAAATGGTGAAGTGTGACCTTTAACACTTTATCCTTGACCAATGACCACCAAAAACTATTTGTGAATAGAACTTCATGTTATGATAACATGTGTATCTATTAACTTAATCTGTTCATGAGATATCATGTACACATTAAGGTTTTTACTATGGACACATGCCTGCACACACTCTCAAAGTGATTACTTTACACTCCCCTACATCAAGTTGGGGATATAACTATAGAGGCAACATCAAATGGAGACGTTGAAAACTTGATGGTCAGAAAATATAGTTTTACAAAATAGATTATTTTGCATTCTTTTCAACTGCCAAAAGTGGAAACATAATAACTGATTTATTTGCCCTACTACAAGAATATTTGTAAAGCATTCCTTCAATAAATATATAGCACTTATAACAGTACATAAAAAAGTAATATACAAAGTTTACACCAATTGAAGCTTAAGGACACCCTAGGAATGATAATTTGTCTGATGAATAGGACAGAGTACATACTATACTAGTCATCGAAACATCACACATAAACACTTACTGGTTGTGCTACCTGAACCTTTCTACAATCCATATTTACCAACCTGAAGTAAATGTTTAGAGATATAGGAATGACAATGACCTGACTCTGTATGTACTTACATGTATTTCTGCTCTATTGTTTGTCTGTCTCCCTGGAAGACGCTCGCTAACATTCCTGGATTTTATGAAACAGTTATGAAATTACAAGGGGAATACTAATGACATAACATATATTCATATAATTACTAGAGTCTCATAATCAGTGTGGGTAAAATAGAGCGATCCACCCTATGAAAGTAGTCACAAGGATGTGTTGGAAATCTCTTTGTCTTACCCTGGACAGGTGTATCTATTCTGTACTGGGTCCGTCTCACACCAATATTGTAGGACAGTATGTTGGAAATCTCTTTGTCTTACCCTGGACAGGTGTATCTATTCTGTACTGGGTCCGTCTCACACCAATATTGTAGGACAGTATGTCAACAATGCACTGACATAATGTCAACACTACGTGTATGATACGACCAACAGGGTAAGAGATAAAGAATTGTTTCCTAACTTGAGGGCGAGATGTTAGGGGGTATATTCTTAGGTTACCAAAACAAGATGACTTTTTGTGATAATAAGTGCATAGACAGAGAAATCACAAAAATACAATTCCACCAAAATAACCAGCCTCACACTATATTATATTCTTTAAAATGTTCAGTTCTATTATACTTAATATTTTGTGTATTTTGAACACTGACCAAAATATCACCTACCTAGGGTCGTCTGGTCCCCAGTACACCCCTATACCAGCCTGAGCTCCCGCCTGACCGTTGTTAGTGCAACCACCATCTGTATACACCACTACACCATCCCCTTGATCAAACAGATATTGTATTGTCGAAACAGACAAATGGGTGAGAGACAAGTTCTAACAACTTACAAGCTCGTCACCACGAATACAGCATATGGATTATATTTACATCACGTGACGTACTATGTACACAGAGATAAATTAACAAAATAATAATATGGCAGATATAAGTGCATCCACAATTCAATATACAAAAGGGGTCCCAACACCTGGCCTGTGTAAATGTGCATGTATGTTATCCGATATCATTACTACAGTTTATAAATACTTATTTGAAGATTTAAATTTAATTCCATTTGTGATTGTGATCTTTTAAATTGGTGAAGATTATTAGCTAAACAATCTTCAAGCTGTGTTACCAAAGCAAGCCGTATAGGCTAAAGGACCTTTAGAAATTGTTGTTTCAAGTTTTTCACACATATGAACTTTGTGTCAAAGAAAGGTCAAGATAATTTATTCTGATAACCTTAGTAGCCTTTCACCTGAGCAGGCTAACTGTTGAGTATTTTTAGTCTATCTAGACTTTATGGATCTTTAGAAGTTGTTTAATTTTACAAATTTGATCCTTGTGACCTTGAACATATATATCAAGGTCATTTATTTAAACACAATGTATAGCCCTTCATGCCAGCATGCTACTGGCTAAATATCACCTTAAGCCTCTTGATTAATCATGAGAAGTTGTTTAAATGTTTTTAGCAAATTTGACACTACAATCGTGAAAGTGGATCAAGGTCATTAATTACAACACAGTCGTTCGCCCTTTATCCCAGCATGCTACTGGCCAAATATCATCACCTTAGGCCTTCTAGTTATTCTGTGACCATGGAAGTGGGTAAAGTTTATTTATCAGAACAGATTCAATGCTACACCATGGCATAACCTCATTAATAGCCAGATGAACTTTTTCATATTATATGGAAAATTCAATTACCTGTACCATTTTCATTTCTGTTGGATGCATTATGTGACCGTGACAATGTACTTTTTGACCTTGACTGTGCACCCTGTGAATGTGCACCCCTTGACCTTGAATGTGCACCCCTTGGCCTTGAATGTGCCCCTTGTGACCTTGGAGGTTGCATGTACACAGTTTTTGTGTACTCAATCTTGTATGCATTTTTCATGTCACCTTCAAAGTCTGTGTTATCTGAAATTATAAAAATATATTATGTATAGAGCAGTCACTAAAAGATAATGTATTAGCTATTGTTATTATAAAATTCAGTAATTCTTGCAAACTTACCAAATCCTTCACTTTTATTTGATAGGGAAACTTTCTTCATGGGCAGTCTGTTACTGGAAGCTGCAGATGTCTTATTCTTATATTTGTTCTGTTGCTGGGTGTACCCACTTGCAGATGAGATATTTCTGGAATCACCATTTGTATCTTTTACAAAATCGGTGGCCTCTGCATCAGTGTTGAACTTTTTGTATCTGGCCTTTGGGAATCCATTGACTTGTGCTTTACATTCATCCCTACAAGCAAAATAAAATATGATAATACATAAAACACAATACTACATGCATTTTCTAATCAGTTTGTAGTAGGAAGACGAATGGTGATAAAGACAGTGCCTATCTATCTATCTATCTATTCTGCAATTCTGGAGGAGGGGGGCATGATAATAATAGTTTGAAGATTGTTTACCTATTATATAGTAACATACACTCCAACTGAGCTGTATTTGAAAAAGTTCTGATTCGGTGTTGTAACAGATAAAGTTAAAGAATAATGTAAGTACGTGTATGACCTGTACGTGTAGTTATTATTTACATAAATTTAAATAAATTGCTAAGTATAACGGGACATATATGTATATATGAACATTGATGTATATTTAAATATTTCAATACAGCCAATTTATTCAAATATACATCATGTGATAATAAATAAATATTTATGTCCAATCTGCAAAATGTGATAGAAGTGTATTATTTGCCTTTTACCTGAATAAATATTATTATTACAGGTTGATAACTTCATTTAAAATCTAATCAAATTGTATAACAAGATTTAATAAGTAGGGCCGTTTCAACTAGTGCCGTTTTTACAGTGAGGCCGTTTTGACCTAGATCCGTGTTATATTATCATTTTCATATCCGACTTGTGTCAACTTTGCAATGCCACGATCACTGCAACAACTGTTTCTTACATACGAGCAGTGAGTAGTTATCACAGTATAATTAGTATAATAGTTGTCTGACTGTAAAAAAGTGTAACGTTACATTGGTTCTACAACGACCTTTTATCAAATGAATCGCAAATAAATATATTGTTTTACCAAGTCTTATATATACCGGGAATCCGTCCACTCCGAACTGCATAGTACGGCATGATATGCAAACGGAAGAAAGTGCTCATAAGAACTAACGTGTTTACTGCATGCTTTCTAGTTTCGATTCAAGGTTGGTGGTGTGCCACCTAGCGGAACTCACTGTGTGCAACTTCCGGCCAAGTCCTCTTCTTCCGTCGCCGCCATTGCCAAGGTTCGCACACCGTACACATGACATTTAAAGCCCGAAATTCATCACAACGATTCCGATATTATACATAAAATAAATATATGTCGCACATCTAATACTTTTACATTCGTGGACATATCAATAACGCACTGATGAGTATTAGTTTTGTTGATTATTGAGGATTGATAACTGACATCGCTGTGTATTGACATCACTGTGTGCTATATACATGGAATTATCATACAGCAAAGACGAATTCCTCATCATTTAACAACATATCGTCAACCTTCGTTTGCTTATTATTCACATAATAAATAAATGTCTCGTTCGCTTTAACTACATTGACGGAATATCTTGGAAAACGTAATAAACCCTGGTGATGCATTTATCGTTTTCCTGGCTTCAGGAGATTTTTTCCTATATTTACGGTGTTCAAAATAGCTGTCTGTAGCTTTCAAATCAGTTGCAAACTAGACAATGCTAAAAGTCTGATTTTTTTTATTATTAAAGTGTTGTGATATTGTTGAGGATAAATGTTTTGAATGGACTCGACGTTTTATATTAAATGTTATTAAATGTATCTTTTCTACATTGCAGATGTACTCGGCGAGCGCTAAAATAATTAAGCCTCAAGGCGAGAAGCCCGATGACTTCGAGCAGTCGGTCTCACAGGTACATTTGCGCATCAAATNGGGGGGTTGCGTAGTGGGCAGTGACCAGGTATCCAACTGACCATATAGTTAAGTTGGTTAGAGTGGCCTAGGTATGAATCCTGGCCTTGACCACAGTTTTTCCTTCCTTTTACATTTGACCCCAACTTCTGAAATGAACCCAGAGGAGTTAGTATGAAGAGTCTGTTGTGTTATTGTGTTTCAAAACTTATTAAAAGAGGGATGATTAGCCTTGATCCAGTTCGCCCAAGATTGTTTTATCCTAATTTCCAAAAAATAATTTAAGCTATGTTAATCAATTCAAATGTTTTGATGATTTGAAAACTTCCTGTTTTCATGTTTCATGATATATTGTGTTGTCAGAAGTATTCCAGGTCTAGATGTTGATCTGGTCCACCATGTATGAATCTAACAAGTCTATTGACAAAAAAGGCTAAGGAAGACTAAGGAGAGCTTCAATTGAGACTATTATCCATTAACAACTTAAAGATTGACCCAAAAATAGGGCGAAGCAAGCTAGTGCAAAACGTCCTGGGGCTGTAAAAACAGGATTTAGGATGAAATGACCCGACACCCCTTCTAAGAGTTGAGAGGTCAGGGATCTGAATCCTGTTCTGGCTTCATTGCATTTAGTGGCTTTTCCTTCTCCTATTAAAGCTATTAAAACCTATAACAGGTGAACCATTGTTCCTTTTAGTAATATTGTTCCTTTTCCTAATTGCTATATTCAATATAAAGGACATGATCTCTTCCGAACATAGTTTTAGTTTTGAATTGTGATAAGAGTGATGATATATAGACTGGGTAAGTAAATTTCCTTCGATTTTTTACAGGCCCTGCTTGAGCTTGAGATGAACAGTGACCTGAAGGCCCAGCTTCGTGAACTGTACATTTCAGGAGCCAAGGTGAGAAAAAGACATTTTACTTCCATATGAATAAGACATTGTACAATATTTATCACGCTTTCATTCATTCAACCTGTCATGTCCCAACAATATGAATGTCAATCTTTCAAATAGTATGGTTTCAAACAATATCTAAAATGTTTCCAGTATTGTATAGAATTGTATAGAACTGACACCGTTGTTGACAAATGCATTCCTTAATTCCAGAATTTCCATTAAAAACACTTGAGAACAGACTATATAATGTGATAGTGATTTTCAGGTCCCGTATTCATGAAACCATTCTCGCGCTCAAAATCAGGTTCTATACTTGAGCCAAATTTCTTGTTCCGGTGTTAAATCTATAAAAAATCTATACCAAATCATTTCCTCAATGATTTGGTAGAATTTTTGAAAGACTGAAAGCCGAATTCTGTGTTAAATATTTACATATGGCCTTTTGTCAGTCACATGATTGAAGCGATTTGGATAAAGTTTGCTTACGCACAGAATCCATGCTTTAGCATGAGAACAGTTTATACATGAGCATTGGCCTAGGTGATTTTCACTGAATTTCTGTTGGAGATAAATACATACAACGTTGTCAAAACGTTAAAAGTAAGAAGTTGTATGTGATTGGAAAAATAATTTGTTTGACAATATCAGAATGCTTTGTTTTGCAGAGTTGAATTGGAAGGGTTTGATCTAAAAACATTGCTCTCTCATTGAATTTAGATATTACATGATCTTTGTGAAAGTATTTTACAAAATGAATAAGTTTTCCTTACTACCTGTACTTTTTTTTGTAGGAAATTGATGTGGCTGGCAAGAAAGCTATCATCATCTTTGTACCAGTTCCACAGCTGAGACAATACCAGAAAATCCAAACCCGTTTGGTTAGGGAGCTGGAAAAAAAATTCAGCGGAAAGCATGTTGTATTTATTGCACAGGTATAATTACCTTTATATGAGATTGACTTCAGAAAAAATTCCATTTGATATGCAGTTCTTTTCTTTTGATCCTTTGAATGGACTGGTTTTAATTTGTTTCCTTCAGAAGAATCAAGTACGGGAAACCTTCGGTCAGTGTGAACAAAATTAAATAAATATTGTCAATCCTGTTCGAATTACAGAAAATTATAGTCGCTAAAATAAAGAGCAGTTTGAACTATCCCAGTCGACTAAGACAAAAATCACGGCAAACAGTCAAATTATTGATACGGAACACCGACCGCCTTATTGCGATATATATTTGCAAATCTGGAGATGAATAATGGTATATATATCTTTCTTATATTTACTTACATATTGATAATCAATAATTAAGTTCAATTGCAAAGCAGAGACAAGTATGTAGGCCGCAAAGCAGTAGATGTTTTCTCGGGTAATGACAAAAGTTCAGGTGTACTGATCAGAATGCGGAGGGTGGATTGAAACTGCAATTACGGATTAATAGTTTGATCGACCACCTGGTCAGATATTTTTGTTTTGGCACGTGTATAGGTAATATATCAATTAAGTTATAAATCGGTGATCGGTGGTCAGGTTGCAGTTATATAATCAAATTCATCACAGTAATATGACAAAACATATGTCTGTCGGCGATGTGACGTTAACATTCTGCACTCCGTGTACTGTTAGGCTATTATACATGGTCGTGGCCTAAAGATGTTTGACTGGCGCGTGCACATGTTTACAAGAAAGAAACTCAATTATCGGTGATATGTGACTTATTTATGTACAAATTGATGACAACAATGGTCGCACATGAGTGTTATTCAGTAGTTAGACACTGTCAATGCGCAAATAGATAAAGTTTAAGCGAGTTTCGCGAGGCTATCATTGCATCTCCGATAGCCAACCTCAATCAATAAATACGTAAGTTCAGTTGAGTGTTAGAACAATCCGAAACGTGTATAAGCAGGGTTCGAACCATCACTAGACAGAAAATTATTATTTTTATTGTTCAAAAAGTGTCTTCTAACTATCCGCCTATTCGAACAGACCGGAGGTTTACCGTTACCAACTGAGGTGTCTACGGAGAGATGCAGGATGTATGTTTTCATTGTTAGAATTGTGTAATCTACATCATTCAGGTTATTTTTCAAAAAGGAATTTGGTTTTATTGTTAAATTTATTTTTTAAAAAAATGTTGATTTTAATTCAGAAGATTCTCACTTTAGAATGCTGTATACCTGAAATAAGTCTGTAATTTGTTAATGTGCATTTTACAGAGGAGGATTCTACCTAAGCCAACAAGGAAAACCAGAAGGAAGAACAAACAGAAGCGCCCTAGATCGTAAGTAGGATACTGGGTCAAGTCTAGTCTATGGAAAAGTAGTTCAGTCATAAAAAAATCAGCAAGAACTTCTTTCCAATGATTAAAGCTATATTTGAGCCAGGTTTATAAGTAATTTCATTGCGAAAGTCAGAAATTGACGTATATTNCGTCGATTAACGTCAGAACTCCGGCCCTCTATAATATGCGGGAAATATGCGACCCGCGCCCGGAGCGCACTTCAAACTGATATTTTAGAAACAAATCGTCATTTTCACACACATGTCGCACATGGATCGAAAGATCTATTCTTTATGCACTAGGTGGTATCAATAACATGTTTCAAAGATCATTACGAAAAGTATTTTCCAACGTTTTCTATACCAACCCATGTTTTTAATGGAAATTAGGCCATGAGCAATGTCACATGACTTGACGAGATCTCGCGTTACCGAAGGTATATCCCAACGTTATGACGTAGGCCGGCGAGATTTAAGTCACGTGGCATTAAAAGGCGGGGCTATCAAAAAACTAGAGTAAAACAGAGTAAGTTTGAAAAATATGTTTTTAGTGATTGTATTGGTTGTTTGAGGCATGTAATTTATGTTCATCTTGTGCATAAAGAATAGATCTTTCGATCCATGTGCGAAATGTGTGTGAAATTGACAATTTGTTTCCAAAATATCAGTTTGAAGTGCGCTCCGGGCACGGGTCGCATATTTCCCGCATATTATAGAGGGCGGGAGTTCTGACGTTAATTGACGACAGACCGATATGAAAAAAGTCGATAAAACGTCAGAATAATTCGGACTAATTGTGATGATGACTTCACAATAAGTTGCAGAAAATATCCCAATAAATCGGTCTGTATAAAATTATATTGAAATGATGGCACATTAACAAATGTACATTAGATGTAATGCAAGTCATTTACTTCACTTTAAGGTCTAAAAATACTGGATTCACAGTTTTCCGAGCTGATGCAAGTTAATGTTGTGAATCGTGAATCATTGTTTATGAATTTTAGAAAAACTTGTTATTGAAGTTCTCAACAAAACTATTTTATTCTGAATAAGTATAGAAAATGACATTAATCCTCCCCAAAAAAATCGTTTTTTTTGGCAAGGATCTTGGGTAGTTGTTTATATTATGATTTTGGTTGTAATAATAAACGTGTTTCGCATAAAAACTGGTTATGAAGTGAAATTATGATATCATGCTTTAGTGGAAGTGCATGCTTTTTGTCTCGCCGCCACGAAGGGGAAGCGAGACTTAGATGTTGCTTTTGTGGCGACGGCATCAACACAAAGCGTTTGTGTTTAAGTTAGTTTCTCTGAAAGTATACAAGTGCAACACCAACCAAACTTGGACCATAGATGCGCATCATCTTGGGTAGTACATCTCAACCCATGCGTGAAATGCTGGATGCGGCCTAACTTTCATAGTCCACTAGTCCTTTGACTTTGTCAGCATTTCCATCAACATTTTTTTTTTTTACGTTTAACTTAGTTTCTCTCATATGTGCATTGATGGTCAAAGCGGCGCATAGACGAGACATATCAATCCAAATGGCTTGTTTCATCAGATGAATAAGAAATCTTGTATAAATCAGAAAACGACTTTTGTGATACTCAATAAATTTGAAACGTTGTGCTTTCACAGATGCAAATTTTCTCAAAAAAGGGAATGATTGAACTTCATTTACCAATAAGCTTAGCAGAGCACGAGTACATGTCCCAAGTCTAATACAGTAGTTTTGAAAATTTATGATATCCAATGTCCCGAATATAAAAAAGAATGTGAATTTCAGAAAGATGCAAGTTTGAGGACGCATTTCGAGTACCCTTTTTTTAGGTATCCTTGTTTTGTGGATATTAATGAAATGCTTAAGTATCTTGTGTCTGATCCTTGATTGCTTATATTAAACGCTTGTAAAATATTTGGTATTTTGTATATACTTGTACAGTAATGTACCGATATATTTTTCTTCAGCCGTACTCTTACAGCAGTACACGACAGTATCCTGGACGATCTGACCTTCCCTGCAGAAATTGTTGGCAAGAGAATCCGCATCAAGTTGGACGGATCCAGGCTGATCAAGGTCCACCTTGATAAAACTCAGCAAACAAACATTGAGCACAAGGTGGGCAGGATAACCTTAAATCAAACAGTTAACTGACTTGTGTCAAAAGTGGAGAGAATGCAAGTAAAGACACAATATTGTGTCTCTGAGCTTTATGTTTTTTATACGCCCGTTGAAATTCGACGGACGTATTATGGAATTGCGTTTACGTCCGTCCGGTTAAAGTTTAGGTGCAAGTTTCTTCAGTGGTCTACAGTTCAGTCAGATCATGTGTTATTGTCCTAATTTTTGGCATGGATGTTCATGTGGGATCTAAGAAGGACAATATGGAGTTAATTTGGGGAAATAATTTCTATTTTTGTTAATTTTGGATGTGTTTTGGACTTAACTTTTCTCGTGCAATTTCACGGCTAAACTTTTCTCGTGCAATTTCACGGCTTAAGTTTTGGTGCAAGTTTCTTCAGTGGTGTAGAGTTCAGTCAGATCATGTGTTTTTGGTATAGATGTTCATGTGGGGTCTAAGAAGGACAATATGGATTTAATTTAACAAACGAAAAATCATTGGATAGGGTCAGACGGGCGTATTATGCATCTGTTTGCGGTGCTCTTGTTTAACTTGATGGAGATACATCATGCATCCCCGAAGAACCCTCTTACATAATTTACATTCCTCTGACTAGCCTCAATAATAATACTTTGAGGTTCTTATATACCGCTTTATCACAACCTAATCTGTAGGTTGTCTCAAAGCAGTTCACGAATTATTATCCGTGGTTATAGGACCTTTGCATCCAGCCAATATCTTTCTCAACTCTCTGGAGAGCACACAGCCGGTGCTGCCATTTCAGCGCTCACAGCTAGCGTTCAACAATTCTAGCACTGCCCAACCAGGTACTCATTTACAGCTGAGTAGACTGGAACAATTTGTACAGGTTAGGTAAAAGCTTCCTCCAGATGATATCTTGTGCCCCATATGTAGGTAGACAAATATTCTTTCAACATGGGTTAATGGAACAGATTTCAGGATTTAAAATTATTGGGTTACAAAGTCACTGGATAGGCACATTATGAAAAGGATATGATGAGAGCTATTTTTAAACAGGAACAACAAATATGTCTTGACAATTTACGCTATTCTGAACCTTTTCATATTATTGGATACTATTGTTTGCACTTCATTCATGTTTGTACCGCCATATAATGACATGGCTACCTCTTGGGATGGCAGAATGTTGCGTACTGGAATCGAATGTTGTGCCTGACTATACAGACTTATGTTCGTTTGTTGCTGTGTGTCATTTTGTCCATGCTGATGCACTTTTTTTGTCTCGCACTGAAGTTTCCATTTTCTGGTCAGCACTCTGCCCTATTCAAATCCAAACTGGTACACTGACCTGACAGGCAGAGACCTTAATGATATATAAAAACATTAAATCGTTCATTCCCAAGGTACCCCCTTACACAAAACCATGTGACTGACTTGCTCATTCAAACATGTACATTCTTCTGACGCACCTCGATCAACCAGACCCTAAACTTCACCTATCTGTGGGTTAGGTAAAAGATTTTCCCAAATGTGTAGATCATATATGCCCACAGGTGGGCAAGCAAATATTTCTTTGTTCATATTCTTTTAACATTGATTAATGAAGCAAATTTCAGGATTCAAATCTATTTGTTTAAAATTAGGTTACAAAGTCGCTGAATAGGCACATTATGAAAAGGATATGATGAGAGCTATTTTTAACCAGGAACAACAAATATGTCTGGACAATTTACGCTATTCTGAACCTTTTCATGTTTTCATGTTATTGGATACTGTTTGCACTTCATTCATGTGTGTACCGCTATATAATGTCATGGCTACCTCTTGGGATGGCAGAATGTTGCGAACTGGAATCGGATGTTGTGTCTGACTATACAGATTTATGGTTGTTTGTTGCTGTGTGTCATTTTGTCCACGTTGATACCTAATGCACTTTTTTGTCACACACAACTGCCAAATTTTGTATGTGGTAAGAGCTCTTCTACTGATGGAGTGCCCTGTACACTGCCTTGCCCCTCAGTTTATTGACTGGTCATTTATTAATTATTCCTCAATAACAACAATTTTTGTCTGGATATTTTTATGCTATTTTTGACTTTTTCCATGTTATTCAACCCAGCACTAGAAATTTTATGAAAAATACTGTGTATGCATATAGCATATAATGCCCTTTAAAAACTGTGTTGTGCACTGAAGTTTCCATTTTCTGGTCAGCACTCTGCCCTATTCAAATTGGTACACTGACCTGACAGGGAGAAACCTAAATGATACAAAAGCATTAAATAGTTCATTTCTGAGGCCCCCCCCCCCCCCCCTTACACAAAACCATGTGACTGACTTGCTCAATCAAACATGAACATTCTTCTGACGCACCTCGATCAACCCGACCCTAAACTTTCACCTATCTGGGTTAAGGTAAAAGATTTCCCCAAATGCGTAGATCATATGCCCACAGGTAGGTAAGCAAATATTTTTTTGTTCATATTCTTTTAACATTGATTAATGAAGCTGATTTCAGAATTCAAAACTATTTGTTTAAAATTGGGTTACAAAAATTGCTAAATAGGCACATTATGAAAAGGATATGATGAGAGCTATTTTTAAACAGGAACAACAAATATGTCTTGACAATTTACGCTATTCTGAACCTTTTCATGTTTTCATATTGTTGGATAATGTTTGCGCTTCATTCATATGTGTACCGCTATATAATGTCATGACTACCTCTTGGGATGGCAGAATGTTGGGTACTGGAATCGGATGTTGTGTCGGACCATACAGATTTATGGTCGTTTGTTGCTGTGTGTGTTTTTGTCCACATTGATACCTAAGACACTTTTTTGTCCTGTACACTGTCTTGCCCCTCAGTATATTGACTGGAAATTTTTATGCTATTTTGGACTTTATCATGTTATTCAACACAGAACTAGAAAGTTTATAAAAAGTACTGTGTCCACATAGCAAGATGTTTAAATCTCGTTTCATACCATCATAATAAAACATTTTGACAATATTTTCCTTACAGGTATGAAATTTTAGGGATATTTTAGATATTGATAAGAAAAGGATATGATGAGAGAATATTTTACCAGGAACATTACTGTGTCTGGATAAATTACGCTATTCTGAACCTTTTCACAGGAAAAAAATATGTATGATGTGTTAAAATTACAAGAATATATTTTGTGTTTGAAAAATGGCAAATTGTTAACAGCTTAATTTTCTTGTTGCTTGCAGATGGATACATTCACGGCTGTGTACAAGAAACTGACTGGGAAGGACGTTACATTTGAGTTCCCAGAATTTGTGCTTTAAGGCGGACTGGAAACAAAAATAAAAAAAATGTGATACAAAATATGTTTCCCCTTGACTTATTTTAAATACAAGCAGTAACAGAGCTGTTGCAGTAAAAGTAGAATGTTGCACACAGAATTTTCAGTTGGATTATCAGATTTACAGGGCATATTGCCCTTGTGGTAGGGAAACAAATTCCTTGGTTTTCCCCAGATTAATCATCCTTTGATGAAGCCCAAGGGAAACGTCAACCAATGAGAATTATAGTGTTTCATTACTGCAAGGGTAATACGTATTTCGTTATTCCAAAATGAAACAAGAACACAACAGTGAAGATGAACCGGTTTCTGCCCGACTGTTGTTTCCTGCTCAGTAAACATACTTGGGGATCATTCCGTCAGCATACTGGTCTGTTGTATTGTCAACACAAAAGTTTCCATTCGATCAATGTGAAAGGAATACTCTTGATTTACAGCCAATTTCCCACAATACTATTGGTATTAGTTTCCCACTCGGGTTCAATATTGACCCTACTACTTTAAAGACTTTCAATTTTCATGGAAAAAAATTAGTGTTCACAGCATAAAGATGAGCACAAAGTAACCATGACAATATGAGGTGTATTTGGGACATATAAAGTAACAATGGCAATATGAGGTGTATTTGGGACTTATAAAGCATTAAATAACTCTTAATTGGTGGTAAGGCGAGTTGAAAATGTAATATTGCATCTTGTAGACAAGTAAAACATGTGTATTAATGAGGGTGCCTGCTGTAGGGAATTGCTCTTGGGCACAGAGGTAGAGCATCGGACTGGAGAGCCAAGGGTCGCGGGTTCGAGCCCCAGCGACGGCACTATCTTTATCACTATTCTTTCCTATTGCAAATTGTGGCCGATGACCCTCCCCGTTCAAGGTAGCAGAACCCTTGGCGGGATTCAAAAGAACCTGGATTGGTGATTGAAAAAGTGGGGAGTAGTGTAAAAGATGTGAATTGAAGAGGTTGCCTTACAAGCGTCAGCTGTTGAGAATTTCCCTTTAGCTCGGCGATAGAGCCAAGGGTCGCGGGTTTGAGCCCCAGCGACTGCACTATCTTTATCACTTTTTCTCGTCGCATTACAGTATGTAAGTTAGACAGTTGAAGCTTGACAATCGACTCCGTACACATGCTACTGATATGGATAACAGCACAAACTTTACATTTGTAACGAACCCCTGTGGTTACTGTACAGCAGGAGATTCTCTCGAGAAAAATGTTGTCAAATGTAACAAAACGATTACATTTCTGCTAATACAAAGCGAATATATACAACACAACATATTTAACCATATACACACAAACACGACAATCCCCGTGTTTTATAGAGCAGTCGATAGCCGATCATAAACAGGCGACTGATCAGAATTTTTGAACCTGCGATTATGGTCAGTTTTAGCGGCTTCCGGTTGCTAGAGAAAAAATCTGAATGATACGTTTGTGAAATTTACGAAGTATTTCGCTTTTCAAACTATCCACAGTTACTGTACTCTGGTACAGACCAGTTTCACAATCAGTCCTTTACTTGGGTAGCTATGAGTGATTTTCGATAGGAAAATTTCCTAAAGATTCTCTCTTCGGTCCGACAATGCTATCGAACAGACATAAACAGATGAGGAATTTTCGTAAGGAATGCTGTTAAATTTGGGTCTGATGTGTGTTTTGCTCGTGTAATTTTATAATTGGTACAAGAAGAAGACGAAATTGTTTAAGATGTCAGTTATGAGTTTAGTTGGCCCCACATGTACCAAAGCAGCTCGAATCGTCTTTATTTGCCCACATCTATTGTCAACATTGTTACATGTTGAAAACCGGATAATTATATTGACGAGTACATTCATAAAAGAGGAGCTCTCCGGACCCCATGCTCACATGTTAATTTACATTTGAATTTGAAAGATTGGGAGTCTATGCCAACACATCTTGTATGCGGTCAAAAGGAAACTATGAAAAAAATGTCGGCGTCGGATTGCTATACTTTTGGTGTTGATAAAACCAATTATTTACCTCACCAAAAGGGATATATTAGAATATCTCGTAATGAATTAATAACTTTCAGATATAAGGATTGACGATTTCCGCCCTGCACATGTTTCTGTCTGTTGTTCTCAGTTTCAAAATTTGCCCTAAATTTCCATTTCTATATCTGCTTCTCTTCGCAAGGTGTTATTTGGGCGTCTTTCCTTTTCAATGTTTGCTTTGTGTTCGTCATGTTCACCACCATTTCTTCTCTCGTATCGGTTGCTTGGTGGTTCTTGCTTATACTTTAAAATAAATATAAAATTGTTATTTTCCTAATTTTTAGCTCATCTGGCTACAAAGTTTGTTCAAATGAATGACCTTCACCCATATTCAAGGTCACAGGGGTCAAATATGTTAAAAACTTTAAACAACTTCTTCTCAATAACCAAAATGCACAGGGTGATGATATTGGAGTAGCGTGCTAAGGTGAAGGGCTACAAAGTTTGTTCAAATGAATGACCTTCTCCCATATTCAAGGTCACATGGGTCAAATTTGTTTAAAATCTGTAAACAACCTCTTATGAATAACCATGGGTCCCAGGATGTTTATACTTTGCAAGTTGCATCCTGAGATGAAAGGCTATACAATGTGTTCAACATAATGACTTTGTTCGACTTTCAATCACAGGGGTGAAATGTTTAAAAAAAAAAATAACGGTCTTTTGAACGAATTTTAATCATAAATACTGATATTTTGCCTGCAGCTTTATTTTAGATCACTTTTAAGGTTACAAGCGTGAGTTTTATACCAGGTGAGCGATGCAGGCCCATTGGGTCTCTTGTTTTTATTTAAAATTTATTTATTTTACAACAATTATGAAACAAATTATTCAACTTATATTAATCACTCTTGTTGGCCGGATGTTAGAGCGTGGGGGTCTTATTGTGGAAGGAAACCCGAGTACCAGGGCCCACTTGTATAACACATCTCAAAGTTAAGGAAAATCTCAAGCAATGTATTGTCTATGGGAAATATCAAGAGTTGAGATGTTTGATACAAGTGGGCCCCGGAGAATACCCACGTGGTTGGGCAGGTGACCCCATAACTTTTCACGTCCGATCGGGGAATCGAACCCCAGCCGCAAGTGCGCTATCCACTGCACCAACCGACCACCCGATTTATTTTCCTTGACTATCTGATACTATTCCCTATAATGCTAGACCTATCAATTGCTAGTACAGCTGATCTTCAGTGTCTTGTGGTTTCTTTTCATCAATACATTAACCCATGAAGACACATTTGAACTCTTCCAATTCAAAGGTTGGAATAGTTCATTATGAAATTTCAGGGGTGAATGAGTTAACCTAACTGGTTATCATAAATGGTTGTTTTGTATCGGTTGGTGCTTGAGAGATAGACAGTGTCCTCCACAAAGTCCAGATTAATAAAATCTATTACCTGTAACTGAGCGAGATCGGGTTATCTCAGTCGAGGGTTAAGATTCTGTAACAAAATCTAGATAGAAAAATCTAGCATGGGGTATGACGTGGGATATCTCTGTCTGAGGTGCGAGAAAGTCCAGTCAGTGACCAACGGGAACAGATATGTTCACTCTAGTGTTGAAAGTGAAGTTATCAGAAACTTTTCCAGAATGCAAAACATTACATGCCAACCTCAGGTAGGAGTTCTTTATGATGTAGATACACTGTTAAGGGTTGCTGAGCTATTTTATATTGCAAATTTTTCCTTACTGTTAAGAGTATGCTTTGGTCATTAGGGCTTATGGAAAATAACCGTGAGGCATCGAGTTGAATTCCAGCAGAAACAAGATCACTCGCATACTCTCCGCTTCGGACGAAGTTACTTTAGCAGCTACCATTGCGTTCAATAAGCTATCGATGTGTTCGCCCAATATCACTAGTTGTGAAGGACTAACATGTGGATGGACATTTCCCGTTACCTCATGACTATTGTTGGATTCATGTGTTCAATGTTGGGGAAAACAGGTTGTATGTTATCAAATGTTTGTTGATGACTGCTCAACTTCCAGATGTACTAAGAATGAGCTATAGGAAAATATAAATGTTAGCGTTAAAGCAAAACAAGTACATAAATAAACATTCAACCAACTTTTAATACACTTTATTAGGACTGAATTAATGCTGCGCTGTAGCATTGATTAGCTATCAATATAATAGTACACCCACCCAGTTATAAAAAAAACAACGTTTTGAGTATGTTTGTCGTACATTGAGACCTCCAAATGGTCCATACTCCCGGAACACTGTACAAAAACAGAAATAAATTGTAGTTAAGATCTGTATAGCAAAGCAAATAATTATGCACATTGATATTATTTGTTGTTGTCGACAAAGTAAGAAAATAATGATTTGAATGGTAGGTCTGATGCTCTACTAGGGCAAATTACACATTATGTACTTTATATATCAAAATCACCGTTGCATTTGATATATTGCAGCCAATCAGCTTAATACGTTTCTGTCAGCATGTTTGATGTAATGCAGCATATACTATGGGCGATGATTGATCGATCGATTCTCTTATAAGTATTTGTATGATTGGTTACACAAGATGAAAATCACTGATGACGTCATACTAATGTAGTCGGAGACACGACAATGGTATCGTCCGGGAGTTTGATACAGGTTCCATCAGATGTATCCGTATAGGCTACCGCCACGTCAAAGCAATAGGAATACTGCACCTGGAACGAACAAAACGAGAAGATATAACAGCAACAGTACTGACGTAACGGAAGCTGGGTACTACATCTGGACGGATCCAAACGGAAGCCAAAACAATAGGAGTAATCGTTAAATGGTTTTGGAACAAACATAACGAAATGAAACTATATAATTTCTACAATATGAATGAAATAACATATGGGCAAAGGATATATGTATTATATGAATGAGGTTGTTCCATGAACATGTCCGGACGGTTTATCGGTAAATACTCTCTCACCAACAATGATACAATGTGCATCACCTAGTTTTCTCTGACATTTTAATAAAAGAAATCAGTTCAAAAAGCGTCGAGTACTTGCTTTATCAGGTATGCTTAACATATGTACTTTTCACGCGTTGTAAGACCTTTTGTCTGTGACTCTTACTTATCAGGCTCTGTATGATCTCTTGCCTGTGATTCAAAATAATGTACTTACCTGGCTCTGTATGACCTCTTGTCTGAGGAACAAATGTGCTTACCTGGCTCTGCATGACCTCTTGTCTGAGGATCAAATGTGCTTACCTGGCTCTGCATGACCTCTTGTCTGAGGATCAAATATGCTTACCTGGCTCTGCATGCCCTCTTGTCTGAGGATCAAATGTACTTACCTGCCTCTGTACGACCTCTTGTCTGAGGATCAAATGTGCTTACCTGGGTCTGTATAACCTCTTGTCTGAGGATCAAATGTGCTTACCTGGCTCTGTATGACCTCTTGTCTTGGGATCAAATGTGCTTCCCTGCCTCTGCATGACCTCTTGTCTGAGGATCAAATATGCTTACCTGGCTCTGCATGACCTCTTGTCTGAGGATCAAATGTACTTACCTGCCTCTGTACGACCTCTTGTCTGAGGATCAAATGTGCTTACCTGGGTCTGTATAACCTCTAGTCTGAGGATCAAATGTGCTTACCTGGCTCTGTATGACCTCTTGTCTGGGGATCAAATGTGCTTACCTGCCTCTGCATGAGCTCTTGTCTGAGGATCAAATATGCTTACCTGGCTCTGCATGACCTCTTGTCTGAGGATCAAATGTACTTACCTGCCTCTGTACGACCTCTTGTCTGAGGATCAAATGTGCTTACCTGGCTCTGCATGACCTCTTGTCTGAGGATCAAATCTACTTACCTGCCTCTGTACGACCTCTTGTCTGAGGATCAAATGTGCTTACCTGGCTCTGTATGACCTCTTGTCTGAGGATCAAATGTGCTTACCTGGTTCTGTATAACCTCTTGTCTGAGGATCAAATGTGCTTACCTGGGTCTGTATAACCTCTTGTCTGAGGATCAAATGTGCTTACCTGGCTCTGTATAACCTCAGGCCTGCGGATCTGTAGATGCCGAACTGAACGGAAGATGTCCACACGATTATACCAGTCGATGCATTCCACAATGTTACACACAGCGCAGTACAACCCGCATCGTTCAGCTCCATCCCTGAGTGTTAGATATGTCAAAAAATGAATGTTTGCTATTTTTTTCTCGAATATATTTCCGAATAAAGATGTTTCAGCTATTAAGCATATTTCTGCTGGGACGTCATTGGTTAAATGAGTAAAGGCGAATCATTTTAATGCGTCCTTGAAATTGACCTACATACGATAAAGCATAACCTTGACACTGATAGATATACGGCAGTAATATAACATTGACGCCAACCTGCTAACGAATACCAATTATACGCAACAGTTTGTAATTTGTTCTTCATTTGTCTATACATAACTTGATATGACCTTCATACTGACCTACATACGACCGTGACTCGACTGTGACCTCTGTCCTCTTGCCATTTTTGCGTCTCCTGGTGTAGAGAAATGAGGCTAGCACAGGTCGGAGGTAGCTGGTCTTCCGTATTCCATGTTGACAAGTAAAACACCGCCACTTCGTTCTCCTCCTTCTAAATTCATTAGACGAAATAAAAATGATATAGTTCAGTCATCAAGAAACCATCTGCATTAAGGATCCCTGTTCCACTGTACTATGGTTTTCATAGCAACCTCCTTAATTTCGTTTTGGATCTACATGTAACCGTAGAACAATTGTGCCAGGACACTTTCGTTGATCAGTTAGCTCAGCCGATTAGAGCGACAGTAGAACAACCTGAAGTCCAGGGTCCGAATTCCAGTCCAGCCCCGCTGAATATTTAACACTTATAACATTGTTGTAATGGGGTGTTTTTTCAACTATATTTTTATCTCTTTGATAAAAGTCCCTCTTTTCAGAAATAACCATCGTCATATAAAACAGAACACTTTCCATTGCAAATGATTACAGGTTTCGGCAGTGGCATGGGGATAACTAAGAGACCAATGGTTGGGCTTCTCCGACATGGTCTCTGGTTAAAGCTCCCAGACTGTTTCGATTTAGGAAATGAAACTTAAACGGTATTGCTATTATTGATATAAAACATTTGCACAGCACCTTATCTCTCAGGGAAACTGCTCTAGGGCGAATAACATTTAAAATGGTAGACATACATGTATATAGTCAGCATAGCCAGGACAGTGTGGCAACAACCGTACTCTAGCGTATCTTACCACGTGATCATAGAACACTCCATACTTGTATACGTGTTCTACCCTTTGATTACAATAGCTACATAAACCCTAACATCCAACCCATTTCTTGATACGCTCTTTTCTAGGCAGGTGAAGTTGGACAACAAGAAACCATAATATACGGCACTCTAAACAGATGATCTTAAGCCACACTGACAAAGTTCTTGAATTCTTTTCCAGAAATATATATCCCCCACAGGGTAACATTGAATTTGAAAAAGGTTGAGGTTGCATGCAATTTGAACAGAGTAAAATACATTGTAGTGGATGATTTTAACATGTAGGTAGGTAAATATTGTAATTACATCACGTGTCAAGATGTAGGCCTTCCTCTCTATGTCGTGTGGTCCTAACACAGTGTCTTTATGTCTCACAGAGAAAGCCCCATAGGTCTTCTCCTGTTCTGTACCAGGGAGAACATACACGCCCTACATCAAATAAAACAGTAGCACGTCCTGTTTCAATTGCTATCGCAAACATACATTTATTAATTTTTGTTTTGTCTTTCGTAAAGATGTTTCCACATTTATCTATCAGAAAGCAAACATACTGATTCTAATAAACGTAGTTATCGGAATCACATTGCTTAGATCATAGTAACAAAACTGCAACTTGATATTCAATTTGTTACTTTCCCTCGAATTCAGGAATGACATAAATATGTAACGAATGTTAAAGAGATTACATATAAAATTGAATATTCCTATGATTGGTTTCTGATAAACTTACCGGTTCATCTAGAGGATGATCAAGACAGACTATTACGTTACATTCCTGTTCATGTATCATCTGCCAGAACTGTTCTGTTGTAGAAGACAATGGTATCTCAGTAACAATGTAGTCAGGCTTACTTCCAAGGTTCTGCATCAACAGAGAAAAGGCTTTGTACGATTGTTGTACTAAATACAATATACTATTTGATATTCAATACACTGTATTTATCGATGTGTCGGACACAAACTACTGATTTGTCAAACCATTGAAAGATTTTTGGAAAGAAGGATATGACTGCTTCCACTACCTGATCATACTTTCTTTCTGTCCTGTCTCCCTAGCTAGTAGCATTCTCAAACTAATGTGACTGACAGAGGTGCCGTCATTAGGTTTCATATGACACTGTCTAGGTTGTGATGTTTCAGTGTGAATACAATTCAAATGATCTTTTAACTTGTCGTCATATGATCTTAATGGCAAGCCAATTTAACATTTATTCAAAGAGAAATGTCGATCCCGAATTTCATAAAACTATGCAAGATATTTTATATGGTATATGAAATATCTTATATAATATCTCTTATGTAATATATAAGATATATTACATAGAAATAAATGAGCTGCTATATAAGATATCTCATATGCTGTATGAGATATTTAATTTAATTTTCTATGTAAGATATCTCATATGCTGTATGAGATATTTCATTTAATTCTCTATGTAAGATATCTCATATAATATGAAATCTCCTCATTATATAATATATCTTGTATAGAAATTTTAACAAAATGTCAAAAACCTTTAGTCTCCCCACTCGGAATCTCTCGAGGATGTAATACTAGAAAAGGCAACAGGCTTGCTGTCAACACGTGGACCATTCGCCATAATGTGGGAGCCCATCTCAAGGGTGCGTGAAATTGCAGCCTCTGAAAGACGTGCTCCGAATGATTCTCGGAGGCGAAATTATCTTCCAATTTTCAATGCCATGAAATCTCATTCTATATAAGATATTTCATATAATAACGATATGTAAAATCCGAAACAAAAACGAAACAAACTCGTATCAGTCTTGAGAAATGCACGTGTCACGAGAAATGCTCTGCCATGCTAACTCAAACAAGTACATACCGGTAAAGTTACAGCATTGATATAATCCTCTTCACCATCGTCTAGCTTCACTCTGTAGTCATCCACTTGAAAAATACATTCCCTTTGCATTTAGTAGATATAACGGTGGCTATGTTTATGGGGACGGACGATGTTTAACGGGATGTACGATGTTTAACGGGATGGACGATGTTTATGGAGATGGACGATGTTTATGGGAATGGACGATGTTTAACGGGATGGACGATGTTTAACGGGATGGACGATGTTTATGGGGATGGACGATGTTTAACGGGATGGACGATGTTTAACGGGATGGACGATTTGCGAATGACAAAATGATATTTGGTGACTTAATCAAATATTTCAACATATACAAATACAATCAAAAAAATCTACATTGACCATACAGTAGAATATCACACCTGGTAACACTGTTGTTCCGTTCCTCCTGGAATTGTGTTCCTGGTGTGCGGCCGAGTACGCCTCACCCCCATACCTTAGACGGAGTTGTTGGAGTCTCTGCAAGAAAAAGGTGACCGTTTGGATGAAGGCAAGACTTTAATATCTTTTTCAAACATTAAAGTTAGTTTGCTGCTGATCATAATCAACTCATACAAGTGTTACACTGTTTTGAATCTTTGAATTTGATTTCACTGATAAAGTATACGCAACGTTCAAAACAGTTGAACAAGGAAAGTCATCATATAACGCGTTCTATTTATTACCGAAAGTAAATAGGATCCCATCTATAAAGAACCATTTTCATACTATTCTCTCTCCCACACTTTCCATTGTTGTGTTGATGTGGTATCAATCATTCGTTTATAATCAAATACATATGCCATCAATACTGAATAACCTGATATTCTGTTAATTATATTAACAAGAGAGGAACATTACTTTCACCTTGAACCGTTCCTGGTTAGTGTGTTTGTTTACTCCATTGCTGTTGATTTTCCATTTTTCGCGCAAGTTTTCAGCCTTGACCAAGGATTCCGGACTGAGGAACATTTCCATCAGAGTATAATGGAGAAACACGTACTGATTCTTAAAGCAGACATAGATATATTGACATTAACAGATATAAATGAAAACAAGGTTTTAATTCTACACAAATGTATTTTTTTTATCATTTGTCATGATTTTTATTGTCAATCTTTTCCCCCAAAAACTCATTAAGCTTTGCCCCCAAACAGTTTATTTATATTTGTTTTGATATTTTTAAACATAATGTACACTTACCAACGTCTGCACCATACGAGGTCGGCATCTCCTCATATACTCCACAAACAGATGAATAGTCACGTGACCCGTCTTACGTCCCTGCTCACTCAAAGCATCGATGGCGATGAAGGTTCCAGTACGACCAACTCCAGCACTACGTGAGAAAATTACTACCATCCTAATGCAATACATATTGTTTTCGTGGATGAATATTTGTGCTTCAAATAAGAGAACTTTAAAACTTTGGAAAAATGTTTTACACTTTATGGTGACTGATGTGACATAGCGAAACATTATTTTGTTATCCTTACTGCCAATTATTATCTTCATTTTTGATTTCGGAACCGTTAACGTTTAATGAAAAAATAGGATACTTTGTATGCGATAATTCAAAGTAAGATAGAAAGAAAACTATACTACAGCGCATCAACACAAAAGGGATATAATCTCATATTTAAGTCGACACAAAGAGACAACAAAAGGAAAATACCGATAACACGATAACAAAGAAATTAAAACTAATAATTGATGTTATGTAGGATCACTAGCACATTTTCAATACCATTTTCACCTTTGTTTATGAAACCAGCGCTCGTAATATGTATCTATTTTTATATCCAGACAATCCGGAAAGCGCCAGAACTTAATGTCTGAAGTCATCACTTTCTATATTTTCTTCACGACTTTCCAGTAGGTATTACGGAGTTTTAAAGCAGTTACTAGATTTGGTATTCAGAAAATCACGAACACGTCTCCTGGTTCTTTACCCGTGTTAGGCATAAGGTAATATGGGATAGATTACACTTTGTTACCTACCTGCAGTGTACAACCATAGGGCCTGTCATGTCCGAGTGTTGACTGGTCACACGGTCATGGAACATAATCAACGGAAAGGCTTCCGGGACACCGTGGTCCGGCCAAGCAGTAAACTGGAACTGTGTCACTTTCCTAGATTCCTGTGACTGATTAAAACATTTGATACACAATATTGCAGGTAACAATGATAGCTACTGACAATGAATTATTTTGTCTATACTTACATAACCAAAAGTTGTGTATCATCAATGTTTCGATGACTACAGTTTAAACCTAGTCAAAAGACCACATCTATAAAGAAATCATCTTAAAAGCAACCAACTTAAAATTATCCTAATGTTAAAAGAACGTTTTGTTTATATACCAAATACAAAAATAGACCACTACATGGACTTCCTGAAAGTTTGGAAGGTGGTATCTAAATACTGGTTTGACGGTTTATGCAATGCTTTATAACTAAGCTATCATCGCCGTTTGACATAGATGACTGCTTATGCGATAGTCAGTTGCACAGTTTAGAGCTAAGGTTATATATCGTTACATATATGCACAGTAATAAATCAACATAATATTAATTGTTGTGAGTACTAAGCATGCTGTTTCTAGAACGTTACTACTGTAGTGATTCGCGGTTGAACGAAATACTATATTCGAAGGTTTTTAATTAAAGAGTAGTGAGCGACCGGACATCTTGTAATCTAGTCAAATTTTGTCGGTCCGTTAGGCAAACGTGTAATGAAAATTGTCATCACTTATACCTGACTATCGGTGATGTAGAAAGACCTTAGCTTGTAGACAGGGAAGTGGTATTCGTTCTCCATTGTTATAGTGAGGTTATCAACAGACATTTTCTTATTCTCGTCCGGCCAGTACTGCACACATTTTATCTGAAAAACACACAAAAAATCAGAAACATCAAAATCAAAATTAATAGACGAATCTCCTTTGGAACATTTGTATGTTTACGTGCTAGCAACTGCTAATGTCAAATAATGACGGCAACTTTAAAACATGTCTTCTCTATTGCATCCTTATGAAACGAAAGGTTTCCACGATGCAGTTCAAATGATTTGATAAAGAAAACAACACAGACGATTCGTACCTTTTCATTTTCCTGTAATTCTGTCAACATGACGATCTTTTCCGAGCGTTCCTTCCAAATCATTCTCCAGAAATCGCCGACCGTGTGTTTCAGCGGCCCTGAAATGTTAATAAACTATTTATAATGCTCTATCTACATATTTATTTGACTACGTGGTTAGGTTGGTTTCTTCACCAACAGGTTTTTCTCAACTCAGATCAATAATATTCGTATCCACCTTAAAAAAGTATTTTCTAAAATAATTGTCCTGCAATAACCTGAAGTTTGATACATATGTTACATTCAATATAACGTAAGACAATTTATTACATTAGCTTTTTTATGCTTTTTATGTCTTATTTGTTTTGGAATTTACTGACACAATCATGGCGTCATGATTGTCTCCCTTGCGTTAACGCCGCAAATTTTATCAGCCATTTATCAGACCATTTATGACGAATGTGCGCATAATATTGTACCCCCAAACCGTAAGTTAGAATCAAATGAAAATAATGGAACGAAGCAAATGTTTAGAATACTTCAGGACAGAATGCTAAAATGTTTAAGGTAGCATACTATTAAAATTATACAAACGTTGTGCAGGAGTCATGTATGATACATGTATTACTTACAGACATATTTTTGAACTTTAATATGAATTAAGAAACGTAGATTATTATGGCGTCCTAATGATGTTAATTGCCTATAATACTTTCTTAATCATTTTGCTCTAGCTAGGTGGTTGGATAAACATTTCAACTAAGGTTTGTAACATTGTCTTGTTAATTGTAAATATTTATTTTACAACAATTGTGAAACAAGTTCTATCAACTTACATTAATTATTTATTGACCCACGTGGTCTGGTAGGTGACCCAATACCTTTTCACGTCCGATCGGGGAATAGAACCCCGGTTATCTTGCGTTATCCACAACGCCACCCAATCACCGAGGATGTGTTTAAATAATCTGTATATTTGTAAATATCATCCCGGAATTTGTTTTTAAATTTTAATTTAACGGAAGTTGTTCAGGTGTCTGTCATTGAGCACAGATTCGAAACAATGCTAATTAAAACAATGGATTATCTTAAACATCTTAATTTGCGGATGTGTACATATCCCACGTTTTATACAATGGAATCTCAATAGTCTAGTGGCACACGAGGCTGATTCCGAATTCCAATATGTTACCGCTTGCTGTACAGATGAACAACTGGATACGTGGTTGCTTGATTAACGAAGCTCCGTGAAAGGTCTGTGAAGTGATACAATTTTGATTAACGAAGCTCCATGAAAGGTGTGTGAAGTGATACAATTTTGATTTCATCACTAAAATGTAGTGGAAGTTGACACTGACTTTGATTGGTTCACATAAAACGTGGACATAACATTTCATTGAACTCTATCAAATTTATTAACAAATTTCAGTTGTTTTATAATTAACGGTACAGCGAACTTAAAGTGTTATTATTTTAATATTAACTAGGTAATGGGCAAACTATTTTGCTGTTTTAAAATGTATTGGTCCTAGCATTTTTTGATTGTTTAAAATTAACTTGTTGGACAACATTTTCATTGTTACAGCTTGTACTTTGTAGTACACATATCGTAGCTGTTTTGACATAAATCAGATGGTTTTAATATTATTTCAAGAATGGGTATATATGGTTGATATATTTTAATAGTATAACTTACCTTGTGTTGCAATGTAAGCCTTTGGTTGTTCAAAACTCTGAAGGACAAAAAATAAAGCACATTGTACATTACCATCTGTTGTTAAGATTAGTGAATACGATGTATTCTTCAAAACCAAAACCGATATCGACGTGTCCTTTCATGTTCAGACCAAATTGGAATCTATAAACGATATTCATATTGAAGTTTTTTTAAAGGTACCATTTAAAAAAAAATGAAAATATACTCAACAACGTATCTCCGTCGTAACATAACTTGAAGCATTCATCTGTTGCAATAATTTCTATTACTTCTAGTGTTAGCTGATTTTGTTTTTTATTTCATATTCGTATTGTCATGTTGTTTATTCATTCGAATTGTGATGGAATTGAAAAAAATCTGACCACTTAAAAATCATTTTGCTTAAATATTTTATCACCAACATTTTTAAAAGTTCCATTTTCATTTATTTCTTATGTTCTATATGTTTTCTTCAAATACAACTTTCGAACTACTCACTTTATAATATGAACACTTTCTAGACAAATAGTGACAGTACAAATACCCTTATTTCCATTGGTTTGACACAAGACACTTTATAGATTCAACACGACTTTCTTACATCAATGTAGCTAGCGTTGATATAGTAATTTTCCTCCTCGTCATTGGACGTCAATGCTACCCTGGAGTGATCAACTGTAATAACAATATGTATGATATACAATTTTAGTGAGTGTTTACCTTCACAGGTGCCGTGTTCAGTCGAACCACAAACATAAGTACAACAACTATATGAACGATTTATCTAACTTAAGTGCCAACAAATCACGAATTTTGTTATTGGAAAAATTGTTTATAAACCCCCTTAAATTTCTTGTTATATAGTAAAATATTATCTCGTGTATATGTATGTGTTCCGGGTTAGGTTCTAAAAGGATATTGAACTCTTTATCATTCCATAATTAACATCACCTGTAAGCAGAACCTGGAAATGTATTTTTTAGACCAGCTTGATTAATCAGATATGAAAAAGGAACTTATTCAAGTACCTTAATATATGTACACATGCAGCAGAATACTCACATGTAGTGATGTTGACATATCGGTTCTTCCTCGAGTTCTCGTTACTAGTTCCTATGCTGCATGGGCTGATATCGGCACCTGACAGACTCTAAAACGGCATCAAGCAAATTATATGGTAAAGGTTCCTTTCTCACACAGATCTCAAATCAAATGTATTGGGTTGTCATGTAGATCAACGTTCCTACCTCAGTATAGTTTGTCCTTTAATGTAAATGCGTTTTCCTACTTCAAACGTGCGCACCGTAATACATATCCTGTTGGCTTGATGGTGTTTGACACTGGATTTTATTTTGCTTTCAGGCAATTTTTTTCCCTCAAAAATGTTTTAAAAAAGCGTGTTATTTTTCCTAGTTTGTACATGATTGTCAGGTATGTGTAAATAATAAAAATCATGAGATCTGATCTCTTAAAACTCTTTTACATTTTTTTTTAGTTATTTAGCTCCATGTCCCCAGTTAAACCATAATATGCTGACACAAATATCAAAATAGACCTAGCCAAACTGACCAAAACTGACCATGAAGTTTTTGTTGAAAAGTGCCCGATCTTTCATTATTGTTAAGTGATCCTGGATATCCCCCACTGGTGTGCTCTTGGCCTGACTCGGCGAGAAGGAAGACAGATTGCACGAAGCTAATAGGGAGGTATTAAAATCACAATCATCCTTGTCCTCAGTGTCTGTAAATGCAACACAGATTGAAGTTCAGCTTTATGCGATATTAAACCGTATACTTAAAAAATCTCCAAACATGACATTGAAATATTCTTCATATCGTATTTGCTAAAAGGTTTCAAAAAGTATAAAATGATAAAGATTATAGTCAAATTTGAGCTGAGAGACCACCAAAGGGAAGGCTTGATAACAAAAATCGTCTCTTAACAGAGTATGTATATATATGTAAAGTAAACGCCTTTGTGGAAATGAGAAACAAGAGATGGTTGCTATATAAAGGCTGTCTCTCGAGCATATTTGACTTTAGTTGGATACAGTATCCATACGTATGATTTTTAAGCTCGAATTCCTCTGATCTGGAACCAACGTATAAAGGGTTATTTTCTCGGGCTTAAATTTTCGCGATTTATCCTAAAATTGAAAAGTAAATTAGACATGTGAAGGATTTCAATTTTCACGGTGTTTTAAAGTGTCAAAATTCAAAGGCTTTAGTACAGCATATGGAGCAACAAGTAATTGTATTTTGTTTAAAAAATCATCAACAAAACTTTTAGATGATTTATGTGATACAATATATTTCCAAACATCGTATTGAATCAATATTGATGCATATAGGACTTGCTCCCTTTTCCATGACGACACATCGGTTATGAAGTTTACTATTATTGCTAAATTTTTCACTTGTAATATTATTCTGCGGATCATATTTTTGCAATCACGTTATTGACCCGCGAAATCACAAAAATGTCAACCATGCGGAAATATCCTGATGTACGGTACTTTATTATATTTTATCATTGTCGGTAGACTGTGAATACATTATTTTACCGACACGTAGAACGTTCAATAAATTCGACATGGCAAAAAAGATAGAATGTAGTGGATTAAGTTAGCGCTAGTTTGATTACTAAATATTTTAAAGGATTCAACGAAAATATTAATCTAGTTTGCAATTATAGACTTTATAATGTTTCCACGTTTTTGTCAGATATACACAGATCTACAACAGCATGCAATGGCGTCTCACCGTCCACTTTAGTAGTTGTGATGTCTCCATTGCTTCCATATGTCTTTGCTGCAGCTGCAATGTCAGGGAGAGGCAGTCCGTTAAAACCCTTGAAGCTGTCACCTTTTTCAAAGTCATGGCTTCTCTTCTGGCGCACCCTTCGTCTGATTTCAGGAAAGATTTATACTTGTTAGAAAAAATAATTTGAAAATAGCATAACATCAAATGACATACTCAAAGTTAAGTAGTTTTTACAGGTATTTTTTAATCTTGTTATTTTGCTTAATTTCACGTACACAGTTTGTGTTCGTTGTGCTATAACTCTGTATCGAATAAAAGCAGTTATGTTTCATTGAGACTTTGTCGGTATATCAATAAGACTGTAACAATAAAGTGCAGAATGTTTAAGTGCTTTTATATATATAAAGACATCTTCTGAAGTATATGTAAGCTATGGCGCGTAGTATAATACGTATACATACCTATACATGTATACTGTTATAATAAGGGTGGAAAATAAGAGAAGAGCAACGACCACTGCAATCAAGACGACGAGGTAATTCTTGGAGCAGGAGAATCCTTCACAGTCCATACCAGACGTCTCTTTACCATTCGGGGCTGTTAGTTCTACTTCTCGAACGACTTGTGAAGATTTTGTGACGTCATCCGAAAAAAATACTGTGCTGCTTACTTCTGTTACAGTGAATGACCACACGTTCTCTGTAACTATTTCTGATATGTGCATTTCAGAGGTTACACTATCCAAGTCTTGCGTTGTGACTAACGAATCATTCCGTGATTCATCGGTACCGTCCCCGGACCAGTCGACGTCCATAGTTGTTGTGGGAGAGGAACTTTCTTCTACTGGGGAGGAAAGCATAAGAGTTGTTCCTGAATCATCATCTAATGTGTTCCAAAAGACATTCGGGTTAGAGGTTACATTTTGTATATGTGAAGAGTTAAAATCTTCTGAAGCTTCATCATAGGAGGTAGCTGTTTCTTCGGTATAACCATCAATGTCAATGACGTTAGTGCTCTCCTCTGTTGTAGAATGTGAAACGTCCAAGAACATACTGGTCGACTCATTCACTTTGTTACTTCCAGTAGTTTGGACATCTGATACATCTGTTGGTGACGTCATTATTGCTCGTGTATCGCTTGTAGAACCTACTTGAGTGTTGCCAGACGTCACTGATGAAAATGTTGATGGAAATGAAGATGACATATTAAGCCTACTTCCATCAATCGTACTAGTAGACTGTGTAGTCCTTTCGTCCTCAGTTACAAAAAGAAAACTTCCGGAGGTTTGTTTCGGCACTGTCGAGGTCATTCCTGACGTGTGTTCCGTTTGTCCCGAAATTGCAGACGTAACTGCGCTTACCGTAGTTGCAGCATCCGGTGGACTACTTGAAAGCATATCTTGGGATATATTCGTGTCTGTTGTGGCAACTGTGGTGTTAACTGTGATTGTGCTAGTCTTTGGTAGTGAGGTCATGTTGATTTTTGGAACTTTTGTTGTTAAGTGTGCTGTCGCTATCGTTGTTGTTGTTGTTGTCGTTGACGATGATCTTTTTGATTTTGCTGTTGTTGGTGATGTCATTGTTGTTGTTGTTTTAGTTGTTGGCGGTGATGTTATAATTGGGGTTGTTGTTGTAGTTGACGAGGATGTTTTTGATTTTGCTGTTGTTGGTGATGTCATAGTTGTTGTTGTTGTTGTTGTTTTAGTTGTTGGCGGTGATGTTATAATTGGGGTTATTGTTGTTGCTGTAGTTGTCAAGGTTGCTGAAAAAAAGAATTTACGCCAATTACATATTTTTGTTGCATTACATTCAGACTACAACGTACGTACACTGTACATTTGTGTGATTGTATTCCGATAATATTTTGTCATAAAATGTATTGAATTATTAATGTTAAATAGATATATAATTGTTTTAGCATAGCCCTGAGAAACATCCTAAATATATCAGTTATCCAAGCATTTATTATTCAGACCCATCTATAATATAAAAAAATATACAAATAATACGAACGGCATTATTTAAACCACTAATATATTTATCATAAATTAAATAAGTACATGATCAACTATTTTCTCTATTTTGGAGAAAAAAATCTGTTAACTAAGTTATAAACCTGCAAAAAGTAAAAGCTGATATATTAAATATTAAAATGTATTATGTATTTGAATGGTGTATTCATTTCAAGTTCATGAAATTTCCTTCAAGCAAAACGATTAAAACTGGGCAATAACTTTATTACCAGCATTATTTATGCATAACTGTAAATAAATTTCATATCAGAAACCTGGCAAATGACAGCTTTCAATGTTATTGCAGACTTAATTCACATGTTAATGGCAGTCTCATCTTTTTGGATTTTTTTTTATACGAAATACATGAATTTCCGAAAATGTTCCCAACTCCTACAATGTCTAATTATAAATCTTCAGCGTCACAACACAGTTATTTCGCTCAACATTAACACAATACGATATACATTTATTACATTCTATGCAAATATCCTATACATACTTTGAACGATACCACTATGGTAGGAAGATCTTCAAAGTAGAGTAATTGCATGGTAAAATAAGCACACCATTGCATTTATTGTAGAAAAAAATATGTTAATTTTGGAAATATCTGGTAAATAATTTTACACAGAATTTTTATTTATGAAAATGTTTGAAGTGATGATCTTTGCATTATCCTTTTTTTCGTATCACAATCATTACATTATTGTCGCATTACCTATATTACAGAGATATCCATTCCATCCTTTCGCACATTCGCCCGGACAATTTCCAGTTACAGAGTCACAAGTGTCTCCTGCTGCACATGCGCCGCACGTGTGTTCACATGCTGCTCCCCAGCGACCAGATACACAACCTTGAATGATACAAGTGGTATTTTTAAGATGTCTCACTGCTAAATTCTACAGCGCCACACTTTAAATTATTACTTGAGATCCTCCTATTTGATAATTGTGAATTTGTTTTTGTAATAAAATATAATAATTACCATTGGGGTGATTGTTGTTTTGATAACTAGCTCTAACCTAAGGTCAGCGGACTAAATTGATTATTCACAATACTATTACATCGTTACAAAAACATGGTTATGTTACATCGTATGTCTTATATAACAGTTTCTTTTATACTTACCGTATACTTCAACTTCACAGAAGCGCAGCTCCGTCGGCCTTATGACGTAGACACTCCGTGCTGATTGGAGGACACAACTGGTGTTGGTATCCATGGCGCCGTCCGATGGTATGTCGTCATAGTTTGTAAAGCAGTTCTTCTTATTGGAAGCAGACGTTGTATCAGACAGTTTGATCTGGATGTTTTTCATCATTTGTAAATCTGAATTAGAATCTGTGGAAAAAATCAAAAAACTCCTTGCAATTAATATATTTAATTGAGTTGATTACATAGACATATTTATTTTTATGTCACTTTTCCCTTCTTGGGAACAAATGGTATAAATTAATGTTTGGTAATTGTATATTACAAATAGTGTACTAAAGATCATATAAAATCACTTATAATATTGTTTGAATGCATTTTTACGGCGCTATTTTTTCAGCCGTAAAAACAAAGTGCAAACATCATGGTCAGAATAACACATATATATATTGGTGTGACCATAACTCAAATAAACACAACGTACGTCCATGATTCAGCATCAGGATGGGACATCGTTGATTACATTTATAAATTTGTCATTTAACCAAAGTTCCATGTGGTGTAAATTCTATCATTAATATTTACATTTCCAATGTAACAGCCTCTTATTAGACCTACGACTCAAAACGTTGTAATACAAGCTTAAAACAACTATTACTAATGCGTTTCCCAATCGATGTTCGGGTCTTTCCGATTTACTGTTATAGGAATAGTGGAACAATGATGTCGTGACGTCAAACTTTGACGAAAATTCCCGAATGGTTTCCGATTGATCACAAGGCGGAAACGGAAGTAAAAGACAGCACAATATTGTTTCCCAATTAAAAGAGGTTGTTCCATCATATGGTAAATCAGATTGATCAAAATGTGTCAGAAACAAAGAGAAACCTCCCAAATGATACAATTAAATTTGTTGCTTTGAAAGTAAATACAAGGACTAAAATAAATACATAGATAAAGTTACGATGGAAATTGTTTGGACGGAACTGTATTTCATACCATCATAAATGTAAAAAAAAGAGGCATACTTGTATCAACAAATTTTCTGCAAAAATATAACACCCACGTATAGAGGACATTCGCTGAAAATTGACTAGTTACACGTTCATTGAGTGCAGACAAACAAGTCTTTGTATGAGCAATTCTGAATCAGAGCTGGTGTTCTGTTGTGATATACCTATGCCGCTGTGTCTGACGATGACGCGATGTACATTATGGAGGCCCCGAAGGTCGATCCATACACGGGCGTTTTTGCGGGGCCGTCTATATTGTATACAGGTCGCTGTGTCGCCATCGGCAGCCTGCTCTACACTGGAAATCTTGTTGGAGCGGGGAAGAACCACCAGTTTCTCTGTCGGGACAACCACATCACGTGACAAATTAGTTTCGTCATACACAGACAATGATTACATCTTAACACTGTATGAACAGGTACCAGTGTAACGAACATCCCTTAACGTGAAGAAATTCTGATAATGCCTTCAAAAGTATAGTGTAAGGAAAGACCGTTCACGATACTGGGATTAGAAGATAATGCAGTTTCATAACTCACGAAATAATTGTTTTTACGATGTATATCTGATGTTGGGAATAAAATATAAAAGAATCAACAATTTCTCAGAGTTGAAAATTGGTTTCTAACACTGTAAATATAGATAATTCGTAAAATGATTCTCGCTTTTGGCATTTCTGAATTTCATTTACTTATTTGACAACTTGCAAATTAACATTAACTTAACGGATTCTTGCAAAATATCAAAAGCATTCTACCAGCTTTTACATCTCCAGAAATGTTATGTACTTCACACGTATAGACACCGTCTACATGTATTTCCTTCTACACGCTTTTGGATTTCGACACCTCTTAGAACATGATAAAATTTAATATTGACTTTATTCTATCCATTTGTATCAGTTATAAGTAAACACATTTTACACTGTATCTTACAGATATTTTGTATCAAAAGATCTTCTTAGACAATTCTGTTAATAAGAAATAAAATGCAGAAAAATACCCATTTTTTAAATCTGCTTCCGATATTTCATATCAGAATTAAAAAAGGATGCCTACCTTCATCTAAAGTATAGCTGCTGATTTTTTTTTAATTCATTAGAATCCAAGCGTGGACAAATTTGAAACTACCATATTGTTGTGCAGTCTCTATAAGATGTTTGATTTTATTCTATAATAATTGCTAAAATAATGAATTTAGTCTTGGTTTATAATGCAACCTTTTGTCTAACCTAACCATTCTATGTGGTATGTTTATCTTGTACAATCCAGCTATGTGTGATTACGTTTGTCATTGCATCAGGTTAAACGCTTTCGTTATGTATAGCGATCAGTGCTTGTTTGCAAGCATTATGACTGAGATAATGATAAAATAGTTACTTACCAAATTTTGAAGTGTCTACATCTGAAAATAGAATAAGAATGGGTCATAAAATTATCAAGGTAATCCGGGAAGTGTCATTGACAGGTTGACAATACAAAGTTGCCACGTATATGTATTACAGGAGTTGGATATCCAAACATCTATGTACAACTATATCAGATGGTATGTTGCCATGTGATGCAACTGTTGTAGCTCGTCCAATTATGAACAAGTGCGTATGGCTCTGTTGTAGCTCGTCCAATTATGAACAAGTGTGTGTGACTCTGTTGTAGCTCGTCCAATTATGAACAAGTGTGTATGGCTCTGTTGTAGCTCGTCCAATTATGAACAAGTGCGTATGGCTCTGTTCATTTTGATGTTTCGCTTTACTTACTTTGTTGTATACTTTCAATTTTTTTTTGTAATGTTTTTTTTTTTGTTTTTTGTTAAAAAATGCTTATTTTGTTATTTGATGTTTATTTTGGTATATAGCCTTTATTTTGTTGTATAATTTTCATTACTATTTTATGTAACTGGTTGAAAATGCATACAATGATGCTTATTTCTTTATTTACTACGTGCCTTTTTGCTACATTAACATAAACACTTATTACACTGTAAGGCGATACCGCAAAGGAAACAATCGCCAAAGGAGACGGGCTTCATGGAAATAAAAATATAGCCTGCTAATCTAAGATACACGACAAGAAGAACGGATTCATCTTAAAAAGAAAAAGATTTTTAAAAAATCCTTTATTTCGATATTGTTACTAATAAAATGAAGAACAAGGCACACTGATACAACGATGAATAGTTTGATGTTGATTTTCAGTTCGCTTATATTACCCTTTGTCAGTATTCAAATATTCATGAAAACATGTGAATGGTTTTTATTTATATAGGATCTCAAATGATTGTTGTTCTGATATGTTTTGGAAATGAAACTACAGACACTAGAAACAAATCTAATACGGGAAAGTATTGTTCCCTTAAAAGAATGTAGCCTTAAAACTAATTAGTTACAGTGAAGTAAATAATCGTGCAATATCATGGAAATAAATTATATCATTCAGAAAATAATAATTTACAGTCATTTCATTACTCCCCTTCTCTATTCATGATTAATACCCATTCAAGCTAAGTAATTGAAGAACGAAAATGTATAGAAAGCTTAAGTGATATTTAAAAGTCTAGATCGTTAGTTTAATAAGATTTTGTTTATTAAGGAATGGCTAGCCTACGAAGCATGTAACAATGTCAGACTTAAAAATCCAGGCTTCAATTTAAAAATAATAAACTTATGAATTTGTTTGCTAAATATGCTCCGATAAGATGTCCGTAGACTTAGGAAAGTGACAAATAGTACTCACCTAGTGCTTGGCTAGTGTTCAGAATAAGCAGAAGAAACCCAAGGCACATACGACAACCAAGCATTTTGATGAAAAATATCCTTTTCGAAATCAAACTTTAACTATAACTGCATTATTTTGTCTGTTTCGTTCTGTAACTTTTGTTAGAAAGAAACATTCGGATCTAGTTACGTCTATCAAAAATGTTCCAGCTCAGACATACACAAACTAAAAGTGATTTGATTTTGTTATAACGCAGTGTTGAGATACTTTGATACGGAGACAAGGAATGGTTGCCTTTATAAGGATGTACAATATCAACCAACCAAGGCCAGTCAAAGCAGTGACCTTTGACCGGGGCGTATTGGTACACTGACCATCAGATCGGAAACTGGACAATGACTTCCCTTTTGACTTTTAGCGATTACTTCTCAGTAAAGCGGCTTTGAAATCTTACATTAATCTGTTGTAAGACACTACTGAGTCACGTGGGAAGTTTGATGTTTATGGTTTAATCCCGAAAAGGAGCGTGATGTAACACATGTACAGGCGCTTATATCGCTTATTATCCATAAGTGGGTATTTAATCAGAGGTTTGGATTGTGGCGGGAGATCATACGACTGAATATGTCTCACACGTACCATTGAAATCCCTCTTAAGGGGTTTCCTACGGAAAAGTGTCAGAGAATAAAATTAGTTGTGGGATCATAATCTTTCTTCAAACTAAAGACGGATTGAATCAGTCTGGTAATCGTGTTTTAAGAACAACGTAAACTATGACCATTGGTGAAACTGTTTGTTGAAATGATTGAGGTTTTTTTCTGCAAAGCGACATTTTATCACAGAACTTTTATTTTACAAAGAGTTTAGTCAATGGTCATGTTTTGCATTATGGCATTCCTAATACACGACTGCCGCCGTCCGTGTTTATCTTGAGCACTAACTACGAGCCCCCAAAAAATCCCTCCACTGTCCGATGCCTGGAAGAAATGCATTAACCAGTATGATACATTAAATACTTTACACTTAGGCATTTTATATCTTTTCTAATCTTTATTATTATTAGAAAAGATATGTTAATCCTCTCTATCAATAGGAATAACTAGGAAATACGGTTGCTAGCACTTTCGCCTATCTTCTGGCTTAATGAATGGCCCCAAAAAAGGCAAGGGCACTACTTCCTGGATTTCTTGTTATTTTTATCTGTTTTTATTACACTGGATACACTAATACTGTTTATATATAGTTTTTAATTATCTGACAAACATGATGATATATATAACTTGATTTTGTCATAGACATGTTTTATAAAAGATATGAGATATAAAAGCTGATATCTCCGGTAGATGGATCGTACACTTTAGTCATAGAAAGAGTAGGACTCCCCGGGGTGATGTCATGCGGGTAAGAAAGGGTAAAATTGTGTGCTCTTTTATGAAAATGGCCTTTTTTTATTTATTGTTTTTAATGTTTGCGCGGTACTCTGAGCTTTAAAAGAACTGACCAAGATGTTGCAATTCGAGATTGTTATCCTGTTTTCTGATACAGTCTGTTGAATTTGGTCTCATGTATATCGCTACTGTCTTCACTACAATTAAACCGTAAACATTTGTCCCACCACTGTCCTAAACGCAGTAGGTACAGAACTATAGATAATTAAAGGTACATATATTTATGAAATTGGATTATCATAAATTTCGTTTCATATGGAAAATATTTGCGAACCAGGAAGATGAAGTATGAGAGTTTGAGGATGTGAGTCGCATATATATATATATATATACTTCCTGCGCGATAACCAAACATATCCCGAGCGTCATCAGCGGTCATCGTCGCCACACTCAGCATGTCATCGCTAATAGCAACGTCCGATTTCCAATATCACATTAACTCATCGTCATCGTCGTCATGATAGACAAGATAAAGAAAGGGGCAATATAGAATTCTTCCACGATAATACCCAGAGATCATGCGGTCTGCACTCATTTGTTTTAAGTAATCTCCTACGTACCGTCACATCCCCCGCCCCCCCGAGGCTTTCACATTTTAACATTTAAAATGGGCAGTGACGTGATCGGCGACACTCAGTAACTAGTAACTACATGTATAATAATACAATTTCTCTATATCGCTTCAAGCAAACTGGGAGTGTATGTTACCTTGTAAACACCAGTTATTCGCTCTGTACAATTCTTCAAATGTTTAATCATTTGATTACAAAATGCAAGACTTTAAACTCTTACTACACAAGCAAAACGTTTTTAAAAGGGTAAATGTATTCAATACGGTGTTGATTAAGTAGAAAAAATATCATGAAACAGGTCCCATGTTTTCCTTAAGAGTCACCCTTGCAGGTCGGGGATCGGGAAAAGAATACACATGCTGTTACCCACTGCATGTATCGTGGGATGCAACTAATGGGGGAACACCCTGCAGAATTGATGATTTGCTTTGATGTCCTCTATTTGGGGACACAAAAGCGACCAAAATATATCTGGTGCTCCCATTGCAATATTTGGGATCTTTATCTTTCTTCTTCTAACTACATTTTATTTCCTAGCGCCTTGCTTGGCAACACCTCACTTTTGGCTTGAATGTTCAGCGTTCGCCTAGATGAGGAAGGCGATGGGTTCTGTCCGCAGGCCGGGACATACCAAAGTCTTTAAAAATGGTAGTTGTTATTCCCTGCTTAACGTTCAGCATTTTGGGGAATGGCAACAACTGGTTCGTCCGTTGTCAGTATAATGTGACCGGGTGGAATGCTGTGCTGGGTGCCTTCGGCATGGCATTTCAGCGAGAAATCCGCGCTATCACAAGACGGCAAGCACATCAACATACCATGTCTCCTGCATACACACACGCAAGCACGTATACACTACACACATGTAGGCACGTTCTTAAATGACCTTAGCTGTTAATAGGACGTTAAACAAAATTAAACAAAACAAAACAAAATTCATTATAAGTTGTGTAAATAGTAATATCAGACAGAACCTATGTGGTATCTATGAAGTGTTCACCCAGTAGTAACATACAATGGTTCACATGTCCCTGTGGTTTTTCTATGAGATGTACACCCAACGATTAAAGAGACATTTTCAGATACACGTTATTTCTCTATGAAGTGTTAACCGGTAGTGTTAGACAATAGTTCATATGTCTCAGTGGTATTTTATAGTGGTTCACAAGTCCCTGTGTGTGATACATGAAAAGACCGGTTTAAGTGTTTACATACACTAGTATACTTTCTACTAAATTATCTGATAAGACCAGTCACCACTGTTCGTAAAGATTCTTTTCAGTATAGTCCAGTGATATATGTCAGACTACTTAATCACGCGGTTCCTGTTTTGACACGCTGAGCACTTCCGGCCAATGCTCTGGACTGGTTTCCGGTTAGTTGTTTCAAGTCCATATTGTCCGGTGTATAGTCCTTGACCATCAAGTGACCCCAAGTCTGTGTAAACACAGGAAAACTGTTAAGTGGACATCGCCCTATCAAAGATCCCGTTTCGTCTTAAGTCTACAAGTGGCTGATTTTATTTTTAGATTTTGCATCTCATTGTGTTAACCCACGGACTTAGTTCTAATCTAATTCCGTGGTTAACTATTTTTTGATTTAAGCATATTTTATTTGCAAAAAAAATACAAAAGGGATTAGACACAAGTTATAAAACATAAAGTTCGCCTTCTCCCTTAAAGCAATAATGATGAAATATACCTATGGCTGCAAAGTTGAAAATGTTGATGACTGTAAATTTAGATGATTCAAAGGATACATGAATAAAATAAAATTGTTCTCAAAAGAGTTGCCGTGGAATAAACACATTGTCCTCTCTTTGAAGGACAAAGCTTTTCTACTGAAGATTTATAAAATTATTGTGGAAAAATAAATTTCCATAGATAGTCCGATTCCTTTAATTCTTGAAAATATTTTAACACATATTACGCCTGTATGTCTTCAATGAGTTATCTACTGGATCGCAGCACAATACTTTGTGCAGACTTTTTGGCAAGGTTGTAATTTGTTTTATTCACACAAAAAATGGAAGCAACCTTACAGTAGCTATATTGTATAGCCTGAACACAGAAATGAAAGTGCTCTTTATTTCCATTACTATTGTACAGGTTAACAATGTGTGTGCTCCGAAATTTAACATGTTAAGGTATTCGTAAGCCGGATTATTTCTTTCTACAATTTATTGCCATATATTTTCAGAGGTAGAAATATACTGACTAATCTTGACCAATCTTATTAAAATCATATCCTAATTAACGTTCCTCTACGATCGTAGAGGAACGTGATTTAGGATCTGATTTTAATTAGATTGTAATCTTGACCTCGTTAATTCCAGAATACTAACAATGAACCCCTGATTAAGGAGCTGGGAATACTAGTGCAGTAACTACACACTCCATCCCCTCCTCTCCCTGCACCCATCCACAGATATACAATGCTGAAGGGCTCTTACAAGGTACAACGCGAAGTGCATGTGTTCCGATTGGCTACACTTTCCCACATCTTGGTACATGTATTATACCAGGAAAGAATGACTAATTTGATTGGTTTGAAAGTTGAGTAAATCCGAAACTGTAGTTTTGATAACAGATTGATATAAAATATCACTGAGTCATCTAAAAATGGTACATTGTATGTACTCAACAGTCCTTGTTATTAAACCGTTAAAAAGTATCTGCGTTTCTATCTAGAAGAAATTCACCGCTTTTTATTCCACTTATTTACTGATCGAAGGGAGATCAAGTTGTTACCTAAGTGGGCGATGCCTAACGATGTCCTAGCTATCCGTTTAAGATGTAGAAAATTCGCCTTTTGGACTAAAGTGAAAAATCATTTTTAGTGGAATCTCTTCCCTTACCTTAATTCAATAAAATACGAAATTAAGGATAAATATAAGTACGAAATTAAGGATTTTTTCTGCAACGCTGTGCGCATGTACGTACTACCTAAAATGATCACCCACCATATAACCACATATACACACTGGACATTAAGACAGATATACACTTTAATTATTCTACAACAATTTCTCCTTTTTATATCAATATCACTCTTGTTAATCCTAGACGGAGGAACATAGAGGTCTTAATGTGTGTGGAAATCGGAGTATCCGGGGAAAAACATGTGGTCGAGGCAGATGACCCAATACTAGTTAACGTTTGATCGGGGAATAGAACCCAATGGCGTCTTGGTGAAAGGCGAATGTGCTATCCATGTAGCGTCAACTGACCACCCAGGCATACAAAGTTGAATATAGCAATGCTACTAGAATTTGCTTCTGGGTCCCGCTCCGCCCCGATGACTTAGTCCCTTAATCGTTACAAGGAATCGAAAGAGATTGCCATCCTGTAACAATATTCACAATTTCTACTCAAGATATGTGACGAATACAATCATGCTTAGTGACAGGGTGGATGCAAGCTTTTCGTAAGATCCCCCTCCCAACCGCACACACATTGTTAATATAATTGCAATAAATAAATATATGAATCAATAATTAATTTGGCTGTATTTTGAAACTATCAATACGACTGTATTTGATATCTGTATTTAATGCACATAACATAATACAGTATCATGCATTTCCCTAATGATTAAAAAGGACATGTATTTTTATTTTATTTATAAACTTTTAAATTTGGTGTTAGGTAATCGTCGCACAAATGCCTTATTAATTAACAAACAAACACATCGTCAAGATCGATTATATCATTCATGTCATATTTGGAAAAGAACAGGATTCAAGATTCAAGATTCAAGAAGCTTTATTTAACGTCGCATATACATGTAACATAATAACATTAGCACTGTAGTGCTATTCTTGCGACAAAAAAAATATTGGATACATTTGTTGACCGTCCCTTTTGATTTATATATTAATTGATTATTCATCCTGCCGTTCGGTCATTATCTGAAGTATATTATACATCTTTTACCTACATCGGTAAAAATTATACCGTGTAACCTATAGCGTAATGATACACGATTTATCGCCCTTGCATAAACATGGCCGTTCTCTCGTGCTAAGCAAGGTTAGTCCTTGGAGAAGATTACGGAACAGGTAGCACACGACATCGTGGCAGCATTAAGGTAGATAATTGGTGTTGCAGACATAAAACAATAATTCAAAATACAACGTCGACATATCACTATGTTGCTATCTCAAGCTGATCCGCGGCGTAATGTTGAACAGTACTGTATCGTCTAGTCACCAGTTTCCGCGCGTTATGTATTTCCGCGCAGACATTTTATCTCGTAACTACGTGACCTGCTGGACGCAACACAAGCATCCTTAGGCCAAGGGGACTCAATTTTGTATTAATGGTGGGTGTGGGCCCCCTGGGGGCAGAGGGGCGGGGCCCAATAGGGAAAATAGATGTAAAACCTTTAAAATCCTTCTTCTACCATAGGGATTAAGGGATTTTATCCTAATTTAGTCTGGAGCATCCTTGGGCCAAGGGGACTCAATTTTGTATAAGCAGTGGATGTGGTCTCCCAGGGGGTAGAAGGGCGGGGCCCAATAGGAGAAATAGAGGTAAAACCTTTAAAATCCTTCTTCGACCATCTTGATTAAGGGATTTTATCCTTATTTAGTCTGGAGCATCCTTTGGCAAAGGGGACTCAATTTGTATGACCCCCCTAGGGGCATAGGGGTGGGGCTCTGTTTGAATTTTTTAATATCTCAAGTACTGGATGGATTTTTCTGAAATTTCATATGTACTTACAGCACCTACCATGGAGTGCTATATCTTTACTTCATACCAATTATTTTAAACATATTCAGGTGAGCGATACAGGCCCTCTGGGCCTCTTGTTTAAAATACAGTTTTATGTTACTATTTTTTTGTTTTCTTTAGTAGATTGTATACATGTTTATGACAGTTCAGCAGTTAGGAAAGCGTTTTTAAATTATCTTGCAGATAGGATATGGCGTTCAAAAGTTTTGTGTTTGGAGTCAGAGGAGAGTCCGGCTTTATATAGAAATTATGTCAAATGTAGTTTTTTTTCTTTTTCTGGATAAAACAAATCGAGTTATATGACAAAAAAACTGAAATTAGCTAATGAATCATAATGTATATACGGTCATCTGGATCTGTAGATTTCGATGAATAACTACGAATTCTACCCGACCTTGGTGAAAATTTCACATACTCTGTAAAAAATCTTAATAGGAAACAACAGTTTTAGCTCAAGATGTAGACAATAGAAACATTTAAAAAGTATACTTGAATAACCTCGGCATCCTTTAAACTAGCCTGAGTTTTATCTGGCCAGAGGATAGTCGGGTTACATTTAAACAGCATTGATTGGGTCATTTTGCCCGACATCCGTTTCACCCAATGTTATTTTGCCCTTAAAGAATATTATTTTTTAATGGTTAAAAATATTTGAAATCTAGCGACCTGACACCATCTCAATACCGTTATATAAACAAATAAGAAAACGGTCATTGCTTTTAAATGTAAAACTAACCTTAAGGTATTTCATCTGTGTTCATATCCCTGTAGAAATTTGTTGCAGGCTCAGCATTTTTCCTCAATGTAGAGAATTGGAAGCAGTTTGGTTATCAAGTATAAAGAACATGTAAATTATGACTATTGTTGATACACCTTGTTGAAAATATTGAAATATTGAGCATGTATGAAAGTAGACATAGATAATCTGATTTTTTTCCAGCATGTGCTGCATTTTTCGTCGCGGACTGAGAAATGTATAAAACTGAAGAATTAGCAGAGATTAGTTACTGTAAAACTTGTAACATTGATTCCAGGGGAAGATATATGCTATCAGAAGATGAACTCATGGACTTGGACATTGGGTAGGCAGACTTAGTAAATTGTTGTAACTATCAATTATATAATTATATAAGCTTTATAGCTACTGATGTACTGTGTTAAAAGTTAACTTTGCATACAAAGAAATGAAACATATATCAGGTACTTGTCATCATCAGAATCAGATAACTGAATTATTTGAACTTTAAGTCAATTTATTATAACAATACGGTACCTAAGTTTGAATTTTAACTTAAGTTGCACTGGAAGTTGAATTTAAAATGGTTATCTTTTAATTATTTTTTTCTGTTGGTTTTAGTTGAGAAGACTTGAATACAACATGTAGTTCCCGACAACAAGAAAATGAACATTGAGTTCTGGGTCTAACACCTTAAGTGTCATCTTTACTAGAAAGATGAATAGAAGATTACTCAGAAATTGGAAGCAGCAGGCGTTTGTTTCAGTTTTTAAAAGAAGAGAGACAACTGCTGTTTTGAAACGAAGGGAGACAACCTCAGATATCAGACGAGTCCATTATCCTTTTCCTTGCAGTGTGACAGATGTGATTGATCTAAGATCAGAAGAGTTGTTCAAAAGGAACCATATTCATGGTGCCATCAACATTCCACTAGTCGACAATGTCCTGGGAAAGGGGGAACATAACATTGCTTGGAATACAAACAAATATTTTGCTCAAAAAGAAATGTTTGCAGAATACATAAATACTTCCCTGAGTGAATATTTTATAAGGAATAAGTCTCAAAACTTCTGTCCCCTTGTTTACTGTGACAAAGGAAGTTTGATATCGAAAATTGCCACACACATTGCTATGGACGCAGGACTGGATGTTTTGTATGTGTTGAACAACGGCTACATCTCTTACAGAAAGCAGGTGCTCAAAGATCTCCGAACACTATCTCTACAATTCACCTTCAAAGTTATCTCAGGTAAGATATATGCCCTCTTTAAACAAAGTTTAGGGAAGCTAATAAGAATTCAATCTGTCCGTACCTTCTATTGAGGTGATGTTTTGTAGGATATATATAACTTGAATTGGATGTCTAAGCTTTCCACTTCCTCTCATTAAACTTCACAGACACATTAACTAGACAATTTGGAGGTCCTATACAAGATCTAAGGTCAAGGCCACTTCAAATAAGTAAAGTAAATCAACATTCTCTCCAGATCACCACTCATAATCTAAAGCCAAACCTACTGAAATTGCGAAGAGAAAATACTCCTTTCTGAAAGAAAGAAATAGAAATATTCTTTATAAACTGAACAAAGTTAATAAAAAGTTTTAAGAGGTATCTTCATTTTATAATTATTACATAACATTTTCTTTACATAATTGGTTATGAAAAACGACAATCTTTTGTTTCTTAACTGAGCTCAGTCAGCTGATCACGACAATACTGAATGTACAGGTCTATTGTTTGTTGACAGGTTTGACAGGAACAGGAAAAACATTCCTATTGACCAAGATGTCGGAGAAAGGTCACCAAGTGCTGGACCTTGAGTGTCTAGCAAAACATAAAGGGTCAATGTTAGGCCTATGGTATGGAGAGACTCAGCCATGCAATGACCGATGGCAGTCACTATTAAGGAATGCTCTAGCCAACTTTGACCCCTCAAAACCAGTGTGGGTTGAATCAGAAAGTCAGCGTATAGGAAAATTATGTATTCCGCCGATTTTATTTGAACAAATTTGCAAGGGAGACAGATTCAAGATCATTCTTCCAATAGAAGAAAGGATAAAATGTTCATTAAGAGATTATCCATATTGGAAAGAGGATACAGACACCTTGATCAGTATTGTCCACAAATTGGAAACTTATTGTGGCCAAGAAAAAGTGAACTATTGGATTTCATTGATTGAGAGTGAGAGATGGGAGGAGTTTGTTCATCAATTACTCGTGGAACATTATGATCCTACATATACAAGGTCTCAGAATAAAAACAAACTAACAAACAGTGAAATACAAGTTTATATGGAAAATCAATCCGAGGAAGTTGTTAAATCCACCATCAACTTTTTAACGGAATTGCCAGGAACAACAGAATTAAAGACACAATGATATTTAAAACATTCCAGAAGCCATTCATTTCATTGTGTTCCTGGATGCTGGAGCTGTCATGATTAAAAATGTGTAGTATTTTCTCAAAGTACAGAATTTGGTTGTATCAAGATTGACCATCTGAATTCACATATGATATCACATTTTTTTTTTTTCAAAGCTTTCTTGAGAACTAGGAATATCATAAATGCTGTGGTATTATATTGATGATTTGGAATTTCCAGAACATCTGTGCTTTTTTATACATAGGGAACCAGATACCATAACGTTGATCCTAAAATTTGAAGAAAAAAACAACAACTGACATGCTTACAGGCATCATTATTAACATAGTACAATGTAGCTAATAAGTGAATTGTATCATAAGTGATTCATATACAGGTACAATTCTTATGAAATTTCTAATGTCTTTCAAAACAAACTGTTTGGAGTTGTATTGATTTCTGAATAAATTTTGTGTGTTTGAAAAGCTTTTTGTTTTGTCACAATTTTTCTTTTTTCAAAGTGATTTTTCAGGTCAGAAATTTGAAATATTTTGAGAGGGATTCAGAAATGAAATATAAAATGTAGACTGATGACAAAAAAATCTTTAATTGATATTGAAGTCCCAAATCTTTCATGAATTTATTTTATAATACACACAATCTTGAGAAACTAGGCTCATATGAAAAAACAACTGAAAGTTGGGCTCTGAGAGTGAACTGAGAACGTACAGAATCTTAAGTGTTCCAGAATCTGTGATAATCTTGAATTTTGAAAATTTGTTTGAGTTATATATTCACAGATTTCTTCAATAGATATGTCAGAATTTTAAACAAAATAGATTTCGATGAAAGTATTGTTTTAATCTCTGACAAATTTCCTTTTCCTAGAAATGATAAACTTGACTACTGTTAGTATTTCAATAACAGCAACTGACACTGACAAATACGTGTGTATTGGGAGGTGCAAGTTAGTCAATTCACTCGAGGTCGGTCTGGTCTACCCCTAAGAAATAAGACAAGTTGATATTTATTTTCTTACATTTTAGGAACTTTCTTTAAATCAAGAATGCTAGATCTGTCCAACATAGCAATGTCACATGTTTTTGGCTGATCCTAATCCACAGCACGGCTGTACTCTAGTACCTGATCCTAATGACAGCACGGCAGTACTCTAGTACCTGATCCTAATGACAGCACAGCTGTACTCTAGTACCATACTTTGAAATACACTGCACACTTACAGTGTCACCTGTTCTGTGTATGCTTATCTTTGCACAAGTTAAACTGTTAAGTACAGGATATAGATTTGTCTGGTATTCCTTAAAAGTTCCATACACCATCATTGGACAGTAAACCTAGCCTGCATAGAATTCCAGCTGCCCCTCAAAGAGAACTGACCACTTCCGTGTGCTGTACATGGTATGCATCTCTATGACGACTGTCAAGGTTTCCCCTTCAACTCTCTGTATTAGATAGGCTACGCGTAAGGATATCATCCAAGGTTGATTTTGTATGTAGGTAGAGAAGTGCCTAAAAAAACTTTGTAAGAACTTAAATGATTGTAACCATGCTCTAGTTCCCGGCTTCGTTTGTATTGCCTTTGTTTTGTAGACAAGTGTGTGATTATTCTTTTTTTTAACAGCAAGGAATATGATAGAAATATCCTTTATTTCTTTCCCCGCGTTAATTATATGCTCTGTTGGCAGGCAAAAATGTCCTCCGCCTTTTACCTGTTTATTGTGTCGATCGGTTAAATTTCCTGTTCTCACGTGAACAGTTGTATCCTTCCTTCAAATCCCCATAACTTTACCAGCGTAAGGCATCCTGCCAAGGTAATCTCACAGACTGCATTTCACCTCAGCTTCATCTACATCATCTCTCAGGTGATTCTCAATAATCCAGGGATTACGCTCACTTTCGCTCTCTTTACCCTGGAATATGTCATAGCAAAATCAAAGACTCGATGTGCGCAACCATGTGGATGAGACGAGAACACTAGTTTGATCCTTTGATGTACACCCAAAGAATTTCGCGTTCGCGTAACGGTAAAATTGAGTTGCTTTACAAGTTTTTCTTACCTGAAACCAAACAAATTTCTAGATGCGTATCATAAAGTTTGTAATGACTTATTCCCAGGGTGCAGAGAGCGAAAGTGAGTGTAACCCCTGCAGTATCGAGAATGTTCTCGGATGAAGTCAGCCAAATACCTTTCCCATGCTTTCCGTTGGTCTTTTGTAGTCTACGAGTATACCTGTAGCCTTTATCCTCTTCAGTACGCCGTACTAGTGCTGATGAAATATGTTTCAACAAAATCAGTGCAGGCCCGTGTAATAAAACACTAAACTAGGTAAAATATTTTCCCCTTTCTGCTTTCTTTCTCTTCTGATGCATTCTTTCTTAGTTACTGAGGTTTGATCAATTTTCTTTCGATGGATTGATTAAATTGGTTCTGTCGTACCGACTATATGTTTTGTCTGGAATTGGTACCCTGGGGTGCCACCTCGATATCCAGGGGATACGCTCACCTTCGCTCTGTACACCCCTGGAATCATCCTCGATATCCAGGGGTTACGCTTACTTTCGCTCTCTATATCCCTGGAACATGTCATGGCAAAATTGAAGGCACGAAGATAGCTGTTTGTTTGGTCTCCCGTAAAAAACCTGACCAATCGCTAGACTGATACCTGTCATTTGAAGATTACAAAGGAGAGACGCCCGACTTCAAAGCCTGTCAATTTTTACCGTTACGTGACCGCGAGATTCTTTTGATGTACATCAAAGGATCAAACTAGTCTTCTTGGCTCATCAACAAGGTGGCGCACACTGAGCCTTCAATTTTGCCATGACATATTCCAGCGGTGTAGAGAGAAAACGTGAGCGTAACCCCTGGATATCGAGGATGCCCTGGAATATGTCATAGCGAAATTGAAGGCACGCTGCTTGCTAATTGACTGGTGTCAGGTGAAAAAATCCTTGACCAATAACTAGGCTAAAACACCCGACTTCAAAGCCAGAAAGTTTTACCGTTACGCGACCTTGAGATTCTTTTGATGTACATCAAAGGATCAAACAAATCTTCTTGTCTCGTCCACAATGTGCTGCACAGTGAGCCTTTCGATTTGCTATGACATATTCCAGGGGTGCAGAGAGCGAAAGTGAGCGTAAACCCTGGATATCGAGGATGCCTGGGGTGTTAATAACCAGTCGAACACTGATTTCTTAGTGTTGAACCATGTTTATTAGTGTTGAATTAAAGTAATATCTAAAATTATCCGAATGACATTGAGGTACTGCAAGGTTCAGAGATGATGTAAGGTCAATTTAAGTTATACCTTTTTCGAAGAATCTGTTCTGGACAACTAAGAAATAAGTAAATGCAGATAGATTTCTCTAACTCAAGTGTTAAAGCGTCTATTGTGATACTATTCCACCATTTTGTCTACAGCAATGTCGATATCGAGCTCGTTGCCCCCAAATATTTTTTATCTAAGAATTTGCAGCTCGTACAATGTCTTATTAAAAGTATAGGTATAAGATGATAATATGCCAGTTCCTCTAGTTTATCTACTCCTTCCCAAGTACATTTGCGGTTTCTTGATTGTGTTAATTGTGGTGATGGAGGCCATATTGTTGGATCGCACGGGTGACAGGTTCTTTTGAATTGTGAAAACTTTAGTATAAATACCGAAAAGTTTACAAACATTCTCTCTCTAAATAAAGTGCACAGAATCAATATGTAACGTTACTTTCTGCGATGTAATAGAGGGACGTATACAAAATATACACTGGAATGAGGTTCACGCGATAAAATATCGATGAGCAAGGAGCAAATAAACACCAAAATGTTAACTACAGGAAAAAGGTCTTGTAGCATATATTCAGTTACACTACATCAACCTACCAGTGTTCACTGAAAACTACCCAACACCCCCCAACACCCTTTGCTCAGTTGCCAACTTCATTTTGTGTTTGCCCAGTCATCTTTAAGGAACGTTGCAGTTTTTAGTGATTAAATATTGAATGAACGTTTCTAATATGTTTCAGGTTGGTCTTCGAGAATGACATTACATCGCCACATATGGAAAAGACTTTTGTGTCCTGCTCTGTCGTCTTCACTGGGCCTAACCACAACCTCCGTCCGTTTGAAATCCTCTAAAATACTTAGAACCAGGGACCCATTTTATCGCGAAGGCGTATCCGACGTCATTGACGTCAGAACTCCGGAAGAGTACCATGCTGATCACATCCCCGGAGCCATCAACATTCCAATCCTCTCTCCGGAAGAGTTCCAGATCGTCGGTAAGCTACACTGGGAGGCTTCTGAAGCCAGGAAAGCAGATGAGACTGTTCCGCTGAAAGCACGGTTGATAGGTGCCAAATTTTCTCTTCAAAGCATCATTAAGATTTTAGACTCCCACTTTATGGATAAACCACAGAGTTATTCCCCTTTCATCTACTGCAAACGTGGTGGACTTCGGTCAAGATCACTGGCCACTGTCCTTGAAGAGATAGGGTACCCGGTTGTCCTATTGGAGGGTGGCTACAAGACTTATCGTCGTACAGTCATGGATGACCTTAATGAGATGCCGTCGAAATTCAGATTCAATGTTGTAACCGGTAGGTATTTCAATACTTTTTCAATAAGAAATCACATCTGTCAACGTTTATTCTTCTGTGAATAGTAGGTGACTTTTGAATGCCTTAGCGCTTAAGTGTTGCAGATAAAATACCAAAATATATTATTCGTGAGCATTAGATTTTGAGTTTGCTTGTTTTACATGGCAAAATTGTATACCCCGTATATCTGGCTATAATATGATATATTTGTTTGAAGTTTCCATACATAATTATGTGTCTCCAGCGGTGATGTAGTACCAGAAAAACGGTCTGTTCCCTCTCTTGTGTATTGTGGCCGACACCGATATTGTGAACAGGGCTGACAGTTCATCGCGGGCTGAACGACTGAAAGCCATTGCGTTTGTCTGGAGTTGTCGAGGCAAATATCGCAAGCTATAGATGACAGTATATGCCTTAATTTGTGTAGAATCGATGGACTTTGGGGTCAAATCAATAGTGGTTGGTCCATTGACGTTGAGAAAATACATCCTGATATGCAAGCTCCACGTGGGATTACACAAAAGTAACAACTTACAGTCTACATCGGCCCTGTAAGACTGTCGGATTACTTTGTTCAAAACACCGCATCCGTCAAATTTACGTGTTTACTATATAAAATCTTGTGCACGCGGTCTTCATTTACCTTTTTAGTACTGAAGCATGCATACATACATACATAAGATATGTTGTAAATCAAAAGATAATATCTCTTTTGAAACACCAGGAGGAAGTGCCGATTTTCGAACTTTGGCCTAGTAGCATACGTTATATATGCTTTCGCGATCTCTTGATATTCATGGACTTGACGCCTTCAAATGTATGTCAAGAAATGTTATTTAGCGTTTATTTAAGTTATGCAGTT